AAGTCTTGGGCATCACTACCATCACCTTGATGAACTTCTGCATCCTTTCCAAGAGGCTCAGTTTCCATCCACTTGTGGTGCACTTTCGTCTTGGACAACCAGTGAGAGAGATACCAACAAACACTTCGGGCAGATGAAATTCTATCCTGGGGTTTTTAGCGGGCATCAAGTTTCTATGTATTAGGTTTGATGGTGAATATGTTTATGTTGTGATGAATCTTCCTTTCCTATGACAACATGGACTCAAAACTGAAGAGACAAGAAGCACTCCCATCCCTCTGACCCAGAGCTCCACTTTGTACTTTGAACGGCAGTTGTGGCCACACACAGCCCTTCTACTATAATGTGTCATGATGAGGGCTATATAAAACGCCACAGTAACATGCAAGCTGAACTTGTGCTGAGCTCTGAGAAAGGCACCTCAGAGAGGCCCCGGGGAGTGGAGTATTTGCACAGAACTTCAAAAGGTGAGTAAGACTTTTCAGGGCTAAATGGGGAAAGTGCATTCTAGGCACAGAGAATACCATGTTCAAAGTTCAAGGGTGTGGAAGTGTGTCGTGACAGACAACAAATAGTCAGTGCTGGCACAGAGCTCTACAGAGTTGGGCAATGGTAGATAAAACATGTAAGCCAGACAGGTAGACTGAGCCTGGTAGCAGCCACACACAGGGGACGCGAATGATATTTGGGGCCATATTTTCTTTGTTGTGAGGGGACTGTCTCTTGTCCTGTGCCTTGAGGTTACAAAGTAGCCTTTCTTGCTTTTACCCTCCAGATACAAACAGCACCTGCACCCGCATGGTGACAAGCAACCATGTCTCCAGATGCCTGGGGCCCAGTGGGGAAAACCACTCCAGCCAAGGATAGCTGGAAGAGTACATGAAAATATGGATGACCTAGAGTAGATGGTTGGTGGCTATTTGTGTAATGAACTAATGAAGGGAGCAAAGGCAGAAAGGCTGGAGATGAGACACTCCTGGGTCACATCCTCTGGGTCAAGAAGAAATACAGGATTAAGGAGAACACAGCTATTTTAAAGGAGGAATGGAAGTTGAAGGAGTTCACAGCAATTCAGAGATAAAAGTCATTGCCAAGAGACTCAGAGGAAAAGGTGGTTTGGAGTTTGAAGAGAATGGAGAAGAGCCAAAAGAGCAGTTCAGAAATATACAAGTCAGTCCCAAGAGTGAGATATGCCCACCTCTGGAGTCTATGAAAAGACATCAGGGAGCCCCCAGGCCTTCCTGCTTTAAGAGTTATTATTTAGCAGGTATGGGGGGGGCAACCACTGGTTTTCTATTGACAGTACAGTAGCTATATAAAGTTTCATTTAGGGTATATTTGTAAAGAAGCTAATTCTAACAAAAACACAATGCTTCCTCCTACTGTACTTGCTCAACACAAACACATCCGACCTGTGTGGGGGTTTTCCCCATGTGCCAATCAATTCTCTCCAGGCTGAATCTTTACTTAGAGATTTACAGTCAGATCCCACAGGTTAAGGGCTTGGTCCCTCAAGACCCCCCCCTCCCCACTTCAACGCTGATCTCAAGTCCTGGTCAAATGGCTGCATTTCTGACCTCAGCTGTAAGCTGGGGTTCTCGCCATCCCTGCTGCGGGCTTAATGACTTGCTAGACTGCCTCGCAGAACTTAGAGAAACACTTACAAATTTATTATAAAGGATACTGACAAGCAACTAGATAGAGAAGTACACGTTAGGGTCCAAAGGGTCCAGAACGCAAGAGCTTCTGTCCTTCTGGAGCTCAGGTGCACCTCCCTCCTGGCATGTCAATGTATTCACCAACACTCTTCCCAAAAGAAGCCTATCAGATTTCCTTGTTCGCAAGTTTTTGAAGCGTGTAATCTCCTGCTTTACCCATCCTTACATGGAAGTAGGTGAGTGGGGCTAAAAGCTCCAAACCTCTGATTGTCTGGTCTCTCTGGTGTCTGGCCCCATTCTGAGGCTAAGACTTAAGTCACCTCAGCATCATAAACTCAGGATTTATCTAAAGGACTTCACTATAACTAAAGATATTCCTATCACTCAGGAAATTACAAGGGTTTTAGGAATTCTGTGACAAGAACCGAGGACAAACATTAGTACATTTCTTGTTACAGTCATTTTCTCCTTGTTCTCTGGGGACGTGTTCCAAGATCCTCACTGGATTCTCGAAACCATGGACAGTAATGAACTGTCCACACAAGCACTGCAGTGCCTCAGCAGTTGACCGGACAACTGAAAAGGCTGCTGACTAACGGGTGTGTAGTGTATACAGCGTGAATACGTTGGCCAAAGGGATGATACCTGGATACCAGGACAGAGTAAGATAGCACAGGATTTCATCACACTACTCAGAATGGCATACAATTTTAAACGTATGAATTATCTACTTCTGGAATTTTCTATTTAATATTTTCAGAACATAGTTGACCATGAGCAACTGAAACAATGAAAAACACAACCATGAATAAGGGTGGATTATTATATGCCACATTGTTACAAAAAAATCAAGCAATAATTGAATAAGTGAGACAAAGATACTGCAAAAAGTTAGTGAGTGAAGTTTAGAAATCAAAGAGCTGAGGCCAGCTGAAGTTGGAGCCACGGCCTCACCAGCTTCCCATGCCAGGCCTGCCTCTGGGACCTGCTAATAGAGAACCCACTAACATTGGTGTCTGTGTGTGGCTCTTCAAACACCAACCCTTGATTGCAGCCAGACAGCCATCTCCTCCTCTATGGTCTAGGAAGATGCCCATACACCCTCTTCCATTAGAGCTGAGGCTACACTTTATACTCATGGGTCTCTTTGCTCAAAACACACAACCCTCATTTTAAATATCTCTTCACTTGTATTTTGGCTCCCTGGCCAGCTGCAAAGTCTCTTGCAGGTAGGAGTCACATCTGCATACTTCCTTCCAGGCACTGGGCTGGGCAGGATCCCAACCAGAGATCACAACCGGAAGGGTGTGGGGACAGGTGTCATCCCTGGGCCAGAGCCATAGAGCCAGTTACTAATTTCAAATCAAGTTAATTAACCTGCTAATGACTTCCCTATTCCTGTGAAAGGCACTGTCAATAAACACAGTGTTTAAGGATCCAAAAAATATTCATTTGCTTCCTCTGTGTCTCTCTCAGGTGAGTCTCCAGGACATAGTACTCATAAAGGTCTTGCTCTGTGAACCCAATTAAGAGCTGATACCATTTACACCATGGGAAGACACAGGAAAGGCACTTGAGTCTGGACTTCCATCCTTCCATGCTCCCATCCCCATTACTTCAGATGCTGCAAGTAAAGTCAATAGACTCATGTAGTTGTGCATCTGGGAGAGGTGAACTAGGTGTCATTTAACTTTCAGGTCTTCCAAGAAAGAAATCTTGAATTGGGGGCAAAAGAGCGTTCTGTAAAATAAACAGACTAGGAATGCTGAATGGCGGGCAGCCTCACAGAGCTCCAGGGATAGCAGGGACAGCTTGTTCTGTGTCGATGGTTCCTGAACCAGTGTTTTTAACACCCAGCAACGCTAACTTCACATCAGAATCAAGACTAAGGCACCCTTGGCAGCCCTTAAAGCATTACCTCCCCCAAAGAAATCACTCTAAGTATCATAAGTTTAAAAAAATATATCCTAGGTACCACAAATTGCACTTAACAATGACCCAACCATATTATTTCCACCCTGTCTAATGTAATTTTTCTGGTTTTTTTATATAAAGGATTTTGGTTATTTTAAAAAATTATCCGCCCTCCAAGATTAACCTGGTTTTATTTGTTTTTTTAACAATCAAACAAGCTAAGCACAAGAATGAGTCAGTACTTCTAACTAGCTTCTGAGTAACCGGATGTCAGGATTTTCTCCATAAACATCAAATGGCAAATTACTCTTTTGGAAGGGACAAGCTGCAGAGTAAGGGGGAGCAGGGGTGGGAAGCCTTACTGTGAAGTTCGTCCCCTGGGTAAGGCTCATCTTTGAATGGAATAGCATACCATTCCCTCCTACCCCCTACTTCTTAGTCATTCATTTATGGCATCAGTAATTGTTAGGTAGGTACAGGGAACCACTGAACAAGTCTGGCAAGAGTCTCACCCTCAGGGACTAGTCTAGTGGGAGCTGAGCAGATAAACTAGACGGCTTCATTCATTCATTCCGCAAACAATCGCTCTTTTGTTTTTCAATGGCCATCGAGCCTTTGCTCTCTAGGAGTACTGAGACTCTCATCATCCAGCAAGACAGGTGAAACCCTTGCATTCAAGGATGACTTCCAGCGGGACTTAAAACAAACAAGATGACCTCAGAGTGATAAGGTCGGAGAAAAATGCAACAGGATGTTGCGATGGTGGGGCGGGCGGGGGGGGGAGGGGCGGGGAGGATCTGCTACAAATGGTGACAAGGAAGACCTACGACCTCAGGGAATGCCCACTCCGTCCAGCCCCGGTGCTTCTGACCGCACCCCTCGCCGGCATGGTGATCATCCTGTCCAACGCCTATGCTTCTCACCCCCACCGAGGGTCATGACCTCTTGGGGGCAAGTGCAATGAGCACAGAGTTAGTTGGTTGACTTCTGCGCCACCATTCCCTGGATTGAGACGGGCCTTGGGAGGAAACTTTCTAACAGGACAGCACGAACATGTGCTCAAGCGAACCCCACCAGAACCAGCCATATTCACAGGCCTCGCGAGCCAGGAGCGGGCGGGTCAGACCCCACTGGGCGCCAAGGCAGCCGCTGAGACGCTCCGCGCCTGCGCACCACAACACCCGCCGGCGGCCTCGGCGCGGCTTAAGTCTGCGCCGGCGCGCTGTGCCCGCGCGCGAGAGGCGGGGCTTAGCTGCGCCGCGCTGCGGGGCGGGCCTTGGTTGCGCTGAGGGGTGGAGCCTAGTTGCGCCGCGCTGGGCCTGCGCCTGGCCCGGCCGGGATAGGGCGTGGGGCCGCGCGTCGGGACGTCCTCGCGCCGGGATCGACGGCGCCTGCGCGTTGAGCGGCCGGCCGGGGTGCGGGGCGGGGCGGGTGTAGTTCTGTTCCTGATTGTCCCGTAACGCCGCCGGACATCGCGCGGATCTTCGGTACCATGAAGATCTGGACTTCGGAGCACGTCTTTGAGTAAGTTTGGGGCGCGGGGGCCTGGAGCGCGGCGAGGCCGAGGCGGCCACCGAGAGCTTCCCGGCGTCGGACCTGGCGCGTGGAGCCCAGCCTGAGTCCCGCGGGCTCAGGGGGGCGGGCCAAGGTCACGACCCCAGGGCCGGAGCTGGCGGCCGTCGGGACCCCCTGGCCAGTCTCCCAGCTGTCCAGTGGGAGAGGCAGAAACGGCCGTCGGTCCTGCCCCTCCCCCCAGCGGCCCCTTGGGGTCGAGGGGGCGTTGCAGAGCACGCGGTCCTCGACCGTTCCCGGATGGCTACTTCCGGCCTGGAGAACCACCTGCTGGGCCGTAGCCACGAGGGTCCCAGGAGCCGGGTGTGGGTTTTCCCAAATGTTCCGGTGCCCCGGTCACCGTCGGGTGGAGTTTCTCACCTGCAACCTGAATTTCCGGTGAACTCGGGCCTCCCGGATGCGAAACCTTGACGACGAACAGAGTCGTAGATTTGGGCTCAAGGTCTCGCTCTGGCTCCAACAAACTTGTGACCTTGCTTTCCCATTTTTTGATCCGAGAGATGGAACATGGCAGTATGGCTAGGCCTGCTAGTGTAAGATCTCTGCGACTATGTTCAGAGACACCTTTTTGATTGTCGTGAGCTTTTAGTAACGAAAATAGGCCTGAAATCAATGGGATGTTGGGAAACATTTATCTTCTGGACCTACAATGTCACATACAAAAGAACCACAAATTAAACAGCCCTTTTTTTTTTTTGCGTAATTAATTGGTTAATCCATTGTTCTGGCACTCATTGACTAATCGGTTTCCTTTCTGGTGTGAAATGCTACTTTGTCATAAACACGGTTGTGATTTACATTTGAATCCACTTCTAGGGTATCTACTCTATTCCACTGATGTTGCTGCTGTTGCCACACTGTTTTAATTATTATAGCTTTGTACTATATTTTAGCTTAGACGTTTGAATTTTAAAAACTGTTTGTGGGACAATTTTAAAAGAAGCTGTCAACATTTTCACATAGTGGACCAGACACATCTGAGGACCTCTTGTATCCTGGGAAGAATTGATTATTAGAACCAGCAGGAAGCTTTTTTTTTCCCCTCCCTGGTGTTTGTACCTGGGGGCTGGGGGAGGAGAAAGACTAAGTGTGTACTCTTTCTGATGACTTTTAACCTCCTTCACTAGTCCATTTCAGCACCAGAGATACTCAGCCTCAGTCCTCTTTCTAGTTTGAAGGTGGCAAATTTCTTGGCACGGACTCTGTTTCTTAGAACTTCCTTCTCCTAGGGCTTCCTAATACTCTCCTTCCTCAGCTTGTGCCCACTACTCTATCTGCTTCTTCTGCCCTTTTTTTCACGTTCTCTCCTCTTGTCAGTGTAAATAATAAGAGTCAGTTATTGACCTTCCTGTCCTACATTTCATTAGTGATCTTAATCCTCTTTTTCTTTTTGTCACAGACCTCTTTGAGATTTGGTTAGACCCCTGGATCTCTCTCCTGGAAGACAGACATAGTCAAATAAATGCTACCCATGTCCCAGGAGAGGAAGCCTTTATCAAGCTTTCTCTCCAGGCTGTACTACTCAGTCAAGGTCCCACCCTGATACACAAACATGGATAGCACCCAGATCTGTACCTTAAGCTCCCTCAAACTTCAAATACTTATTCAGGTTGCCCAGACACCTGAAGCCATTACCCAGATGTGCACAGGGTCTTTGAACTCAGCAGCTTTGAAGTTGAAGTCATAATCTGCTCACAAATTTTCTCACTTTCATGTTTCCCCTCAAGTCATCTTTCTACATCCATCCCATCTGTGATTTTCTAGCACATTCTCTTGAGGTCTGTCGTGTAGTTGGCACTCAGTTGAAGTCACTGGTTGATCTATCAACATAAAAGGTACAGAATGTGCCAGGCATTGCCCTTGGAGTGCTTACATTTCACTAAGTCAAGACATGTTGCTGCCTTAGTGGAGTTAACAGTGTCCCCGCCTCCTTTTACAGGTGCAGACACTGGACAGGTCAGTAAGCCACAGCCAGATTCTTTGGTGCTGTCTTTGAATGTCTTCCAGTGTTACATCTTTTTCACATAACTATGTAAGCACAGTTAACGTAAATTGCTGGAAGACTGCTAATCTTAATATGTATCCTTTGTAATGTTTGAGCTAGTTATGTTTCACAGAGCAGTCCTACTCCAGGCTGAGTCCGCATCAGTATTTTCAATGACTTAGAGAACAGAGGTAGAGTCAATTACAAATAATGCATAACCACCCAAAGCCACACAGCTATTTTTTTTTAGGGGAGGAGATAAGCGCAGCTAACCATGCTTTATGACTAGATGGACAAGGAAAGAGTTCATCTGATTTTTATTTTAGATAGTTGCCTTGGTAACAATCAGAGTGCTTGGCCTGATTGTCTTCCATTTGTGGAGACTGTTTAGGTTTACGAAGCTGTTCCACTAACATACCTACATTGATTGAATAAGGCTTGAGATTAAAAACAGAATGAGGTTCATTTATACAGTATCATAGAGAAAATGAAGACAATAAAAAGTCATGTAACTGGTTGTCCAGGGTTCTGGGAAGTTAATGGAGTTGAGGTTTTTCTTCTGTTGACAAGATGTAGTTGTCAGTTTGAGTTGTCTAAAGGTTGAACGAGATTAATGCCTACCTGTTTTACTTCTACAAAAATAAATAATGCCATATATATATCAGTTGCTGTAAGTTGACACATCATCTCCAGATCCTGTCTTTCCTTTAAATGAAGATAAGAGCACAGATAAGTATAGAAGGGGTTGGGATCAGACTGCAGGTGGACTGACCCACCTTTCATAATAATCAGGGGTTCTTTGAAAACTGTGTCTTTTTATACAAAGCATTTATAGGGTGAAGAGGGCACATGTACATCACACTTTGAATCACTCGAACACATACGCTTTTTCAAGAAAATAGAGATGCTGCAAGTTGTCAGGCAATGTGGTATTATTGCCAGTCAGTCCTAAGTGGTAAGCAAATGCTTATTATATTAAGAGAGCCTATTAGAAAGCAGCAGTTACAGGTGCCTAAGAACATTCTATTCTGTTGAGTGACCTTTTCAAAACAGAGATCAGTGTCACTTCTTTGAGGACTACAACAGATACTAACTGGAGAGAGCCTGCTGTTGTTTATTATGTTAATGTAGAGGAGATTTTTAATAATTAAGCCAATAATACTTTAGATCTTTATGTAATTTCTATAAGAATTTACAGTGCAAAAAAATTAATTTATAGTGCCTATAAGTTCTTTCACTCTATAACCTCATAGAATGTGGTCAGACAAAAGAATAAACAGTAAAATGACAGTTTTGCTGCTTGTTTTAGTAGAATATAATTTTTAAAATACGTTTTTATGAATCGGTGGTTCTTGCTTACATGTGAAAATGGATAATGTTAAACAGGAAAGATTATTTCTCAAACTGTAGGTAATACTCTAGGTAGTTTGATCTTTATAGACTTCAATTATTGTGTATAGCCGGTGTTCTAGAAAAATACACATTAAAAATGTAAATTGAGCTCCCAAAATCCTCATTCAGTCAGTGCTTCAAAAAGTAATTTTCCCTAGGTAAACTAATTAAATTTCTATTGTAAAGAGTGATTTTATGGGTTATAAAAATTGTCAAATTCCAATGCATATTTTTAAATGTTTGATTTTTGGTTCTTGTTGGCAGCCATCCGTGGGAAACTGTTACAACAGCTGCAATGCAGAAATACCCAAACCCCATGAACCCAAGTGTGGTTGGAGTTGATGTGCTAGATAGACACATAGACCGCTCTGGAAAGCTACACAGCCACAGGCTTCTCAGCACAGAGTGGGGACTGCCTTCCATTGTGAAGTCTGTAAGTATGTCCCGATTCCCAGAGAAATGTGACTGCGGTAGAGAAGTTTTCTAAACCACATTATAATTTCAAATAGGTTGTGGGAGCCAATTCCGAATGTCATTTTTGCATCAGTTCAAATTGTATTATAATAAACTTGAGTTATGAGTGTATAATGAATTGGAAATATTATTACAGTCTTCATGAAGGCACTGATAAAACCTTCTGAAGGAAGCCAGCTAATGCTTTGTAATCTAAAAGGAGTTACATACTTTTCCCGCTTTTGCCAGCAACTTGAGACCAATAATAAGATTTAGAAGTAACAGTCTGGTCCTGACTCTTGGGTGACGGTTGCTGTGGTCAGTGGTAGGTTGTATATATCAAGAAAGGGAAATATTCTCAGGCTTACTGTAGCTGCATTTGTGCCATGGTCTGGTACTCTTTTGTGTATGTTTAGAAACAGTTCTATCCAGTTACAAACAAGCAGTCCTTAGTAAGCTGATTGAACCAACAAGAAACTAGAATGCCAGCTTATCATGATGTGAGAAAACCCAACGTGGTAAGTGGATCCAGGTTTCTGCAGGGGGGGTCTCTTTATAGAAGGCAGGTCCACTCAGATAACTTCAGTACACATTTTTGTAACAGCAGAGTCCTGATTGCCTCCTTTATACAACCATAGCATTAGATGGTAGGGGCCCAGAAATGAGCAAAATCAGGGATGGGCTTCAGAGTCACACCCAGGGAGTGACACTGGGTACCACTGTATGATCCACTGTGAGATGAAGCTGTGAGGCCGCCTCCCTTGGCCTGCCCTGGGATGCTGGCATATATTCATGAGTTCTCCCTTTTCTAGATGCCATATGTCCCCACGTCTTCTGATTTCTGTATTTCAGCTTTGATGTTCCATCGCCACACCTAGACAATTTCAGCATCATGCCTTATTTTGCATGGGCTTCTGGGAAAGGTTTTTGAGAATGGCATGGTGTATATATCCTGTTAGATTCTAATAACCTTTTTTCTGACCTTTGTTTCCTCCTGCTTTTTGAAAACAGGGTTTTGGTTCAAGATAATTGTAACACATTTGTACCTTCAAACAAAATACTGACACACTTGGTTAAGAAAGCCTTCCTCCTCTGATCGCTAATTCTGAATATTTCATTTAGCTTATCGGTGCAGCAAGAACCAAAACATACGTGCAAGAACATTCTGTGGTTGATCCTGTAGAAAAAACAATGGAACTTAAATCTACTAATGTAAGTCTTACCTCTTTTTAACTTTGAATTGTTTGGCGTGAAATTGAAGTTATTTACACAGTAATACCAATGTGGTTTATTTGTTGTTGGTTTATATGTTTAGCTAGTAAGATTTTGGGTTGTGTGTTGACTTTCAAAAAGAATTTTTTTAACCTTTGCTTCTGAACTGATTTGCTTACTCTCCTCTGCCACTCCCCTGTCTATATAGATTTCATTTACAAACATGGTTTCAGTAGATGAGAGACTTACATACAGGCCACATCCTCAGGACCCAGAAAAGTGAGTAAAGAATGTTGTAATAAACTTATTTTACAAGTGTTTTAAATTTCTTTTGATGAACTGTTTTTTAAAAAATGAAAGTTGGCTCATCTGAAGCTGTGATATGTTTTGTGCCAGAACTGTTTTGACTCAGGAAGCCATAATTACTGTGAAAGGAGTCAGCCTTAGCAGTTACCTTGAAGGACTAATGGCGAGCACCATATCTTCAAATGCTAATAAAGTAAGTTGGCTGCTTCCTAATTGTTCATTATTTCCCAGGTTCATTTCCTGGAAGAGTTTGTGCTGAATGTGTATCCTTGTTAAGCTGACTCTCACCCACCCTGCAGCAAGCCAGTGAGCACTAGGCAGTCATTTGCACAAGCTCTCAAGTCCAGCCCTCCTGTTTATATGCAGGCACTCTTACCAGCCTTTCAACCTTGCACAGTTAAGTTCAGTTCTTTGTGCCTGCCTCAGTTTCCCACCTGTGGAGATTGCCCACCTTACAGGATTTTATCCTTGACTAAGTGAAATGGCACATAGACAGTACATAGCCAAGGCCCCGCCAGAGGGAGTCTTGATAGTGTACAGCTGTGTGTCATTGTTTAAAGTGCTGTTTCGTACCCCATTTTCATTATTGTCCCCCTCCCGTCAGGTTAGACTTTTTCTTCTAATCTTAACCCCCCTGAAACTATACAATACCACATACATATGTGTGCTTTATAAAAGAGTGAAAGTTCCTCCCCCATGAACCAGTTTTTTGCCCTATTGACAAAGCATGAGTTAAAAGTAAGTTTGGAGAAAGAGATAACTGATGGACTGTTTTTAACACAGACTTAATACAGTTTCTCAGAAGTCAAGGATATTCATAGATGTCTTCACTGTGCCAGGCAGAGTGCTAGTCTAGACTGGGGTACAGCGGGGAGCAAACAAATAGGGCCCCTCCCTTGTGGAACTAAGAAGAAGGAGCATGTCCTTAGGAAAGGAAAAGTAAGAGACACGTATGAGAGAGCTTAATGAGTGTTGGTGATTAATGTTTCTGCCAAGCGCTGGCTGGGGAGTGGGATACTTGTGAGGGATGCCAGGAAGAGCCATCCGTGTGGAGGAGCTGCATGTGCAAAGGCCCGTAGACAGGAAGCACAAAATGCTCCTCCTCCCATTCTCAAGCTGTAAGGCACCAGGAAGGAAGGGGGGGGTGAGGAGGGAGTCAAGGCCCTTCAGAGCTTTGTGCATGGTTTTGATTTACAGTGTAGACATAAGAAGGAGGGGTTGGTTGGCCACTCTAATGATGAAATAAGACATCCTGTCATTTAATTGTAGATTGTTTTGAGAACATCTTTTGCATACAAAATAAAAATTAGTTTATGGATCAAGCAGTTGCTCAAGGCATTTGATATTTGGTAAATAATATTAGAAAGAGAAAGCAAGGACAAAAATGATGTGTCCTCATGAGATTTAGTTATACTCAGAACACTCCCTGTTACTGCCTGGTGCGTCATTTATGATACACACCTCCACTCTTACTCAGTGACAGTAACTGTGTCGGGTTGTTTTTGGTTTGTTTTAGGGCAGAGAGGCAATGGAGTGGGTGATACGGAAGTTAAATGCTGAGATTGAAGAACTGACGGCCTCAGCAAGAGGAAGCCTAAGGACGCCGATGGCGGCCGCAGCATTTGCAGAAAAGTGATGAGGCGTGGTCCCAAGGCTCTCCAAGCTTGATGATATATTTATTTGTTATTTAAAAATACAACTATTCTAGGTAGTTTTTTTTTTGTTTGTTTTAAATGATCTGGAGTAAGGTTATGTGACTTCTGATCAAAGATCCAGGGCTTCTAAATGAAGGGATCATCTGAGGTTAGGGTGGTCTGAATGACTGTCTTAACTTTGAGGGCTCAAGCATTTATATGAAATTGTAAGGTATTTTTGTTTGTTTCTTTGTTTTAAGTACTTGGAAGAAATTGGATTGACATTGAGTTCCTTAAGGTAGAATCTTTTCAGATACTGGAACACTACCTGGCTTTGGACCAACCCCAGAACCAAACAGAATCACCCTACATACACACAGTTGCCTTGCTGCTGTGAACTACAATAGCGTGCTTGAAGGAACTCACTTTAAAAGGAGAAATTGTATAGTTTTAAAATACATTAATTTGTACAAAATTAATTGCTCTGCTGAAAACCAGTGTTTTGATACTTAAATAGTATTTTTGGAGTGAAAATTAGCACTAAAGTAATACATGACTCCAACAAAAATTTTACTTTATTGTATTAAAGAGTACTGTATTGATTTGCCAAAGTTTTATAACTTAGTAAAGGTCTTACCTTCCTTGGATTTGTACTTTGTGATTTAGCACGCTGTACCGTGGGCTGGTTGCATTAACTGAAAAATAAAGTCATTACCTGAGTTTTGCAGCACTCTTAAAGAGAACACTTAAACAGAAGAATGGCTGTTCGCATCTTTTAGCATTTCACATTTGCTTTAACTTATAAATTGCCATGTGTCAAAATCATGGTTTTGTAATTGCTAAGGCATGATATGTCAGGTTATTTGAATATAATTACTTTTTGAGGTAATTGTGACCACAAAAATCTCTTTTTTACATGAAGAGCTGTACATCATTTGAAATTATTCACATGGTGTCTTGATCTGAAGAAGCATAGATCCAGGTAGTTAATGTTTTTAATAATATGTGGCACAGCCGGGGCGAGGGGGTGTTGGGGAGGAAGAAAAGTCACAGGAGAAAGGCCTAAACTAACCACTAAGTAAGCTGCACTGCAGGTTTTATTTGTGGAAAATCTTTATTTTGGAAGCCAGAGGGTGGCTGGAAAACCAGAAATAATCCAACAAATGTATTTTGTTTCATATTTTGTAACCAACAATTATCAACAACCTAGTGTATTTGATAGTTGCAATTGTTACATGGAGTATTTTTTGTTAAAAGGTGGTTAGCTTTTGCCTTTATTATACAGTACTTAATGTGATCACCTTCTAGTTGGATTTCCTATAAAGAGACCAATTAATATGTAAACAAACCACAGAAACAGGCTACCACGCTATTTTAAAATTAGCATTTTTCTAAAAGTATTGCTTAGTTTTTAAGAATTGCTAGGCCATTTGTAAAGGGTTAAATCCAATAAGATTTGCTATTTTTTTGTAACCAGAGGTAGTTTTTACAAATGAAATAACATGTCAGCCAAATAAAATGCTGCTAAGTAAAGCGATTTGTACAGTGTGTAAATTATACTTCCTCAGAAAAAGGTGTGATGCTCTGATGGAAAAGCGATTTCCAAAGAAATCCTTAGAGGTTTTTTTTTATCATAAAAGTCTATAAACGTGCATTTTCTAATGCAGCCAGGTCCCTCTTTTTAAATAGCTGCTACTCCATGCCTTTGCCAGTTAAAATACAAATAAATGCACGAGGAGCCCAGGCCTGGCGGGCGCCGGGCGTCGATGCTCCTCGGTGCAAGGTGAACTGCCGTGCGTTACGGCCCTTCGGTCAATAGGACTTATAGCCGCGTGCTTCTGATTACAACTTCTTACAACAAGCCAAGGTGCGAGCCCCCGCTCGCGGAGTGCTATGGCGGCCCGGTGGGCCCACGCCGCGAGCCGCGAAGCCGGTGGGAGGGCGCGGCCGGAGGGACGCGCCCGGGGATTGGAAACCGTGACCCGGGCCGCGCGTCTTCATTGGCTCCTGGCTCCGGGGGGCGGGATTCTGTGGCAGGGCAGCAGGGGCTGTGCGGAGGGCGGGGCGGGGCAAAAGGAGATGATTGGCAGGGCGTGCGCCCCGCCCCTTCCGTTTCTCGGGTCTGCCCTTCCTGCAGCTGGGCCGCCTTGCAGAGCCCGTCATTGTCGCGTCCTCGCGATTCGGCTCGACGAATCGAACTCGGGGCATCATGGTGGCGTACTGGCGACAGGCTGGACTCAGGTAGGCCCGGGCCTCCAGAGGGCAGAGCGCCTGGGCGCGGCGGGTCGGTGACCGCGCGGGGCCCGGCCTGCTGCCCAGCGGCCTCCCGGGTCTCGGGTGCCGTCGCCAAGATGGCGCCGCCATGGACAAGGCGCTCTAGCGGCGGGCGCGGGGTTCCAGGGGACCCAGAACGCCAGTAAAGGCACTGGTGAACGTGATCAGTTTTCTCCCAGGGACATCCTTTTCCTCTTGAGTTGTGCATGGTTAATGTTGTAAAAGCAGCACAGCTTGGGACCGAGCGGCAGGCTGCAGTTCGGTCTTTTCCCGACATCGGGGAGGGAAGTCTTCTATAACGTCACTTTCATTTTCGTCTTGCGTTAACCCCGATGACCTCTAAACTGTGGGGAGCGTTGCGCTGGGCGAGAGCCGGGCGCGGGCCCACGTGAGTGCGTGGCCTCCGAGAGAAGTGCTGTTGACCCTGGTGTGACACCTGGTTTCTTTGTGGAAACCCGTGGCCACTTCGAGCAAAGAACCAGGTGTCACACCTGTGAGTTGTTAGGTGGAGCAGCACCTTCCAGTGGTAAGACTGCATGCGTGACTGCCCTGCAACACCCGGAGCCGCCGAGTTTCCCAACTTGCTAAGGTCAAGCCGACTTGCAGACTTGGAGGAACAGACACGTTTATTAAGCAGTCTACACTGGGATCCGTGTTTTTTCACACTTCTCCTTCCCTCTCCCAACCACCTGCAGCTCGGGTATTGGTATCCTTTTATTCTATTGTTTAATAAGCAAGCTGCAAAGTTTGAACAGCCTGAAAGTCACACAATTAGTAGGAGTGGAAGCAAGCTTTGGAGCTCTTCCCTCCAACTCCCAAAAACAAATTCTAAAACATGAGAAGTAGCCTCCCCCCTTCCTGTTTGCAAAAAATGCAAAAAAGTGATCTGACATCTTTTGAGAAAACAAGACATCGATGGAAGTCCATGTACCAAACAGGAAGCAGGCTTTTGGCTATTTTGCTAGAACTGATGTTCTCTGAGGACTTTAATTTAATTTAGAAACCTTGATTAAGAGGTGTTTTCAGTGGCAGACTTGTGAGGCAAAATCCAATGTTCTCAGAAAATCTTTTATCATAGAACTTTTTTGATTCAGAGGTTTTTTTTGTCTTCTAATCTATATGTATGTGTGTGTATCTACATTTGCATATATATGTGCATATATATCTTGTAATAAGAAAGTTTAATTAGAGAAATGGACAGGGAATCATTAACATTTTGGCCTGTTTTTATGGGTTTTTTTTTTAATATCTGTACATCATTTATCTTAAATTAATATGCTCTAAAAAAGATAAAATAGTACCAAAAAGAAAAACTGTGATTATCCCTCTAAACATCAATTAATACTTTGGGCACATTCTTTCTAATCTTTCCTTGTATTGATTCTTTATGGCCTTAGCCACTTTTAAGTTCAATTCTGGAATAACATACAACCAAACTAAAAAGTACAGAAAGAAAACCAAAAACAGAGTAGCTCAGATGTGTAGTGGGATTCTTGATAATTAACATGGTATCTTTCATTTTCTCCAGCTACATCCGATTCTCCCAGATTTGTGCAAAGGCAGTGAGGGATGCATTGAAGACAGAATTCAAAGCAAATGCTGAGAAGACTTCTGGCAGCAGCATAAAAATTGTGAAAGTGAAAAAGGAATAATCAGTAAGTTACTGATTTATTTAGAAGAATTGCATCTTAAATTTTTAGAACACCATAACAAACTACTTTTAGTTTGGAGTTCTGTCCATTTTTAGTCAGGCAATGCATTTTGAAGTTAAGGTAAAGCATACAGGTCATAGAAATCCTATGACATAATAAAAGAAGGTCCTTTCTAGGCGTGACAAGCAGAAGTAACTGGCACATTGATTTTCAGTTCATTTAGCAACGCTTAGGTAGAGCCATCTTATTTTAATTAAACCCGTTTCATTTGTCTGCACAAAATCAAATAGGATAAACTCTCCTCTTTTGTAATTGCTGTTGGAGTTACATAACAGTTCAGGAGCATGAAAAATTATAGTTCTTTGCATTTTTATTTTCCCCACATCTGCTAATGTCCTCACAAATCACTTCTTCCTGAACATAAGGGCTAAGTACAGGCAAGGGTCCTGCTATTTAATCAAACAGTAAGATCTGCCAGACCCTGCAGCGAACATGGCTCTGCTCCATTTGTTACACTTTTAGACTACTCTGTTCATTTTAGTTCTGCAGAGATGTTGGTGATGTAAAGTTACATTGTCAGGCAATAAAAAGACAGTTCTGTGGAGTTGATAAGTTCAGATTTTTGTGCTCCAAACTACAAAAGTGATTTGATTACTCAGCTACTTTTTTGACATTGTTATTTCAAAGATAAGCAAAGCAAATTATCAGAGAGATGTTTTTCAGATTTAATTTTCTTGTTTTACTTTTTAAAAGCTTCAGATCTGCGTGCAGAACTGCGATAAATATTAATCCTTTGGCAGCTCGTGGTTATGAGCAATTTTACTTACTGGAACTGTCTCCCTGAGCACTTTCATTTTCATTTTGAATTAGTAAATACTTTATTACAAGCCTGAAGATGCAGTGTTTTGAATTTAGCCCTTCTTCTAGCGGCTCTGGTCTAATCTCACAATTCTGAGTAATGAGACGTGGTTTTATGTCGGGTTGTTCAGTTTCACCCGTGAGCTAAGTCTGCAGCAGTGCTGTGCCCGTCTGCATCTAATTCCTGTGACTTTGCCAGGGCCTTGAGGTCAGGAAGTCATGTCCACCTCCTGAAAACAAAGCATTGGCCCTTGTCATTATGTCCCCATTAGCACAGGGGGATATGAGTGTTTGTTAAAGGCAAAGCAGTTTCTTTCTTGCTGCAGGAGTGGTTTTGCTCAGCAGGGAAGTGCCCCATGCCTTCCGAGCCAGTGGGGCTCACACGTCCCATATGAATTGCAGCCAGTTACATTACAGTTCACAATAAGGAAGTCAGTTCTTGTATTCTTGTTGGACTTTTAAGGAAACAAAGAGCTGGCTAGCAACTGTTGCATTCTCTTTTTTTCCTCGTAGACCCCACTAAAGCACGAAGTGCTACGTTTTCATGGTGAAGACTATGGGCAAGTTATGGCAGATTGATATCATCTCACTACCTGGGGAAAAAATAACTATCTATAATTTAATGATGCCAATAAATTGACACATGGTTCACTTCCTGTTGGTTTTTGGTTTCTCTCAGACTTGTTCTTTATTGGAGTTATTTGCACAACTGCATGCTTACAACCATATGAACCAGGAATTCTCAAAAGTAGGGAAGGGCACACAGACTATTAAATGACCAAATGAACTATAGGAAACATTTTTTAAATGTCTCAAAATAGAAAGTTCTGGGTTTTGTGATATTGTAATCAAAACTAGACACTGTTACTGCGACTCTGTTACCTCTAACCTCTGAGTTACTCAGTCACATCAGAATAGTGACTGCTGTCTACCAGCCTCATTCTGTCTGATAGCAGTGTCGAAAGATGACTGCTTAGCCAGCAACCCAAATGAAAATGATACTGAAAGAGTATATTGAAGAACAGATAACTAAATCGTGGTGCTTATTTTTTACTACATATATAAAATCTATAAGAACTATTAATTACTAGGACACAAGCATCTTCATTACAGGGACAGGAGTGAATGAGTGACAAGGTAGTAAGGCCTTTTTAGTACCACAGTAACTAACAGAAGGCTAAATGATTTCCAGCTAAGTAAGTAGAGGGAAGGCCAATGGGGTGACTAGAGGTAAGACTTACGGGCTGGGGCTTGTGATAGGGGAAAGATTAAAGAATCCTGAACCAAGGCTGTGATGAAATAAACCAGCATCCAGCCCTGAAGAGTATTGAGCAGGACAACTGCCCAAATGATGAGTGAATCCCAATCAGACTGACTTGTAGGTATTTCATTAACTAGTTAGGTGATGCTTAAGGAGTGGAGAAGCGCAGTGTCCTGTGTGCCAAGTGAAGGATTCAGACAAGCTCAAATTTTAATAACTGCCGTCTCTGGCATAGAGACCAACGTCACCGTGGCAACCATACTGCTAAAGGAACAAATTCTTCAACGTCAGGAGGGGTGGATTTCTCTCGGCATGTAGTTTCTTGTTGGTTTAATCTATTTGTGCCATATGAAGTAGGATGGTGAGGTGCATTTTGGAATATTTCTAACTACTTAAATTAATCAGTCTGGGTGGGTAGGCTCCAAGAAAAAGAATTTACTTAGTCTGAAATAAAGCAATTCAGCCATTTGAAATTGAATTTCTTTGTACTTTAGTGATTACTATTGAACACAGTAATATAAGTCAAAAATTTTTTTTCAGAAGGATTTAAATGTATAACTTTCTTTATTTAATTGCTTTTCTAGATTTTTGAAGGAAAGTGCCAGAAGAAGCATGTATATGTTCTTACATAATCAGGCTGTAAGTTTTTAGCATCTAAGAAAGTTATTACCTTCAAACTAAGGGTGCATAGGTGCAGTTTCTTACTAAAACTAGTGCTTCTTGAACCACACACAAGTATAAAGTGCTTTAAAAACTTTGTACTTTTTAATTTTGTGAGTAGAAGACTTATCAGAGATACCAACGACAAAGCCTGATTTTCTCTTGGTATATATCTTAATTATTTCCTCCTCCACACATGAAAAGAGTGAAGTTTCTCAGAATGAGCAACTCCTCCATCCCTGCTGCTTTGTTATTGCTGATTACAGCAGCAAGTCAGTAGATGAGGACCCAGTTTCCTGCAAGTAAATATTTCCTGCAGGGAGGTCTGAACATTTTCCGTGGACCAAATAGTATAGCTCAGTGGTAATTCTATATGGCCATTAAGACCCGGCTGGTCCCGGAAGGGATGGCAGTGCTACATTGTCAGAAATAGGTAAACTGTAATTAAGGGCTTATGGATGATTTAATTATGCTCTTGTGTATTTGGTGCTGGTATAATGCGAGTAGATTAAAATCTTGTAATAGTTAAAGCTGTGTCATCAGGCAAACATTTATGGCAACTTCTACAAATTAATTGGAACTGTAAAAGTTCCCTAATGAGACAATGTCCTCCGTCACCAAGAAGGACACTGTGGCCGTTTCTGCTTAATTCCTACATTTGAATGACAGCTGAGCATGTGGTATGTCCTTTCCCATAGAGCAGGGAGGCTGCAGAACATTTTCGGGGGTGATCATGGGATGACAATGAAAAGGACATTACTAAATCACCTTTAAAAGGAAAATCAGATATGATTATCAATTCATTCCTGGAATCTAGTACTAATAAGAAGCTTAAAATGTGGAGGCAAATTGCAAAAGGTAGTTATTAAGAAATAAAGAGCAGAGGATTGGCGCGCTTTAGTTTTGCTTGTCTTTTTTTGGGGGGGGGTGGATTTTTTTAAGAGAACCATGGCTTTTTTTCCTCCCTTTTTGCTTTTACAGTCAGTGTGTTGAGGTGTACTCAGTCTTCACCACCCTCTCTTGGATACTGACTCACGTTTCCCTCAGCCCCAACCCCGAGCCTCCCTTGTGCTCTTTCTTTTGTTTTTTGGGGTTTTTTTTTTCAAGGTCCTGGTTTGAACTCAGGGCCTTAATCTTGAGCCACTCCACCAGCCCAATTTTTTGTGATAGGGTTCTTCAAGATGGGATCTCATGAACTATTTGCCCAGACTTTGAACTTCGATCCTCCAGATCTCTGCCTCCTGAGCAGCTAGGATTATAGGTGTGAGCCACCGGCGCCTGGCAAATTATAGGATTTTTTTTTTTTTTGGTGGGACTGAGGTTTGAACTCAGGACTGCACACTTGTAATGCAGGCACTCTACCACTTGAGCCACACCTCCAGTCCCCATGTGATCTTTAGGCACCTGACTTTTCTGGAGGCCAGTGGGCCCAGGAAGGCAGGACACCAAGCAGTGTGAAGAAAGGCTGAGGTAAGAGTCACCCCACCCCAGCTGCTAGGTGCCTACCAGTGCTGCTAAGCAGTTGAAGAGTGAATAACGTCAGTCACCTGCAAACCCATACATGGAGTCTGGATGCCTGGCACAGGGTTAGATGTGCAGTAAATACTTCCTAATATTGAAACAAAGGTGGCGCTCCATGGTAAGTCTGCTTTGCTATTAAAAAAGAAGATAATAGAATGCACTGGATTTCAAGCCCTTCTTGGGTAGTAACTGAACAGAGACCCTAATACCTATCAGCTGTCCCACCTCCTTGGCTGGGCTGCTTCGAGGGCTGGCTGTGAGTGTTGGGGGAGAGACATGAGTCCCTGGAAAAACTTCTGTGAGTGGCTCTGCACAATGTCTTTTCTGGCTACTGTTCCTGATCTGCGTCCGTCTGTTCCTCTTCCCCGGCCTCCTCATTTTCCTCCATGGCTTTAGCATCTTGAAATTGTTGGTACTCAGACACCAGATCGTGGATATCACTCTCAGCTTCCCCAAACTCATCTATGTCCATCCCCTCACTGGTGTACCAGTGAACAAAAGCTCTCCTTTTGAACATGGCTGAGAAGTGCTCAGAAACCCTGGTGAACAGCTCTTGGATGGCTGTGCTGTTGCCTATGAAGGTGGCCGCCATGTTCAGGCCCCGGGGCGGGATGTCACAGACAGCCACCTTGACATTGTTGGGGATCCAATCCACAAAACAGCTGCTGTTCCTGCTCTGCACAGACAGCAGCTGTTGGTCCACCTCCTTGGTGGACATCTTGCCCCGGAAGATGCAGGCCACTGTCAGGTAGCGACCATGGCGTGGATCACAGGCAGCCATGGTGTTGCGGGCATCAAACATCTGCTGGGTGAGCTCGGCCACAGAGAGGGCCCGGTACTGCTGGCTGCCATGAGCTGTGAGCGGGGCGAAGCCAGGCATAAAGAAGTGCAGGCGGGGGAAGGGCACCATGTTGACTGCCAGCTTGCGAAGGTCTGCGTTGAGCTGGCCTGGGAAGCGCAGCGAGGTCGTGATGCCACTCATGGTCAAGGACACCAAGTGGTTGAGATCCCCGTAGGTAGGTGTGGTCAGCTTCAGCGTACGGAAGCAGATGTCATAGAGTGCCTCGTTGTCGATACAGAAGCAGGCGTCTGCATTCTCAATTAGCTGGTGGATGGACAGCACGGCGTTGTAGGGCTCCACGACTGTGTCTGACACTTTGGGGGACGGCATGACACTGAAAGAATTGAGGATCCGGTCCGGGTATTCCTCTCTGATCTTGCTCATGAGCAGGGTGCCCATGCCTGAGCCCGTGCCCCCGCCCAGGGAGTGCACTATCTGGAAGCCCTGCAGGCAATCACAGCTCTCACTCTCCCTCCTCACCACGTCCAGGACATTTTCCATCAGCTCCGCTCCCTCTGTGTAATGGCCTTTTGCCCAGTTGTTGCCAGCCCCAGAGTTACCTGTGGCAAGGAGTAGATAGGGAAAGGCAGGTAAGGCAGGAAGGGCAGCACTAGGAGGCTTTCTCATCTCCTCCTGATGAAGCCATTTGGAAACACCTACCATGGACAAAACTGTCTGGTTGAAAGAGGGCTCCTAATTTGCTGGACCGGATGCTATCCATCGTCCCAGGCTCCAGGTCTACCAGGACCGCTCGGGGCACATACTTCTTACCTGTGTTGAAAAATAGGAAGAAGTCAGCAAACTGCTGTTTTTCTAAAAGTTCATGTTTTACAAAATGGAACCTTGTAATACTAAAAAGAAGAATGAATATTCTAAAGGGGTCTTTAGTAGGTCAACTACTATCCCATCCTATCTTTTGCCCCAACAACAACCCTGCAAATCTGTGAGACAGCTAGGAAAAAAAATGGCCAAAAGAATCCTTTTTCCACCATTGTCTGCTTTGTTCCTTGCGTTGCCTGAGACAGAAATTGTGCTCCTTCCTGTTGGGATTGACACAAAAGAGGAAGGTAGGAACGGAAACTACCGTGACCTTTGTGGTTTCCTCCCCAGTCCTGCCCCTTGCACAGGGATGGGACCCTCACACCATAGATTATGCTATGCTGCCTGTCTCTTGGCCCCTGACCTGGGCAGCACTTGTTTGACACTTGGGTGGTGTGGGCTTTTGTTCCTTCTTTGTCCAGTTCCCAGTCATTGGGCCGCTGCTAACTAGGCTGCCAGTCTTACCGTAGGCTTCGTTGTAGTACACGCTGACCCTCTCCAGCTGCAGAGCAGAGGCCCCGCTGTCACCACCAGCACAGTCAATCCCATGCTCCTCCCCGATCATCCCCCAGAACTAAAAGCAGAAGGAGAGAGGTTAGTGCAAAGATGACCCAGAAGGTTCCAGAGAGCTCCGGAGAGGGAGTTGGTGCTCTTGGCTCTTCCCTGGGGCTGCCGGACCCTCTGCAAGACATTCTTCTTTTCCCTGTTCCTTTTCATAAATGACGAGAGCATAATTCACTTTTTGCCTTACTAAGTGTGAATATGGAGACTGCATTTTATACCCACCTGAACTCCTGCAGTAAAATGTCAAACACATAAAATATTAAATTGGATTTTGCCCCTATTAAATTCAGCCCATTGTACACATAGAATTTCACATCAGACAATGTATCACTAATTTTGCCTGGTAGTGCTCTAAGCTAGTAAAGCGTAAATCCCATTAAATGAAAATAAACCAAATTTTTATCTGATTTCACAATAATATCTTTTCACTTTGAGGGTTTCTTTTCATGAAGTTTTCCAAAAAGCCCATGCCCCCCTCCAAGCATGCTTTTACGTAACATACATTTTTGATGATCACAAATTCACAGTTCAGAATTTTGCATAGCTGTTGTCTTGTAACTGCTTAGACCATCCTGTACTTCCAATCCCACGTAACAAACACGGAAGCAGACACTGGGACGGCCCTCTGAATCATCTGCGGAAGCCCTCATTGAAGTGTACTGAAAACATATCACCTAGGTCAGAATCCCCAGAGGTAGCTTCCCAACCATATCTTTTGAAATACCTCTGTGCAGAGGTGTCAATATCAAGGCTCTGCTTAATAACAAGACTCATTTTACAGTAAGCTCTAGACTGTGAAGGGCATGGAATAGTAAGGAAATTGAAGTCCTGAGTCAGCACAAATTAAAATTTTTCTCAAAATTCTTAGGACCCCCAAATAAGAAGTCATCACTCTAACCACCACACAGCACTATCCAGGAGCACAGCGAGCCCCTATCTCAACCCCGCACTTCCTCTCCAAGGCCTCTCTCCGTATTATCTTCCAAGGTCAGAACAGAGGCTCTTCCACCACTTCTCTGTGTGTCAGTTACAAACATCTTGTCACTGTGGCTTGTAAGGATGACCACTGCTTTCCAAGCAGTATATTCTAGGCCCCTCCTAGGGTTAAAAGACCTACAATAAAACACCTTCATTTTTTCGCAGCAGAGTTTCTCACACCAGCCAAGAGGTAGAAACAACCCAAAAGTCCATCCATGGATAAAAGGATGGACAATCTGTGGTAAATACACACAATGGAATATTATGCAGCTGTTATTTGAAAGAAAGTTCTGACACCTGCTCCAATTTGGGTGAGAACATCATCAGGCTTAGGGAAATAAGGCTGGCACAAAAGGACAAATACTGCATGATTCCACTTAGACAAGGCACCTAGAGGGACAGAATTCATAGAGACAGAAGGTAGAATGGAGGGAGGGGGATGAGGAATGAGGGTTTAATGGGGACAAAGTTTCCATTTTCTAAGACATTCTGGAGGATGAATATGAATGTTCTCAACACTAGTGAATTAAACTACAAAAAAAGGTCAAGAAGGTCAGTTTTATGCAATGTGCATTTTATCACACCTAAAAGATTTTTTTAAAGATTTTTCCATCTTTTTTTGTGTGCGGTACTGGGGTTTGAACTCAGGGCCTACACCTCGAGCCACTCTATCAACCCTTTTTTGTGATGGGTTTTCTTGAGATAGGGTCTTGAGAACTATTTCCCCAGGCTGGCTTTGAATGGCAATTCTCCTGGTCTCTGCCTCCTGAGTAGCTAGAATTAACAGTTTTCTATCTTTTTAAGGCTACATAATATTCCATTGTGTGGATAGACCACATTGTCTTTATCCAGTATTCATCTGTCAGTGGACATTTGGGTTGTCTTCACCTTTTGGCTTCGTTAGGAATGCTGCTATGAAGAAACTAAAGTCTTTTAATGCAAGTGTTTTAAAACCTTGCTTTTAATGCAATTCATGTTAGTAAATGTAATTTCAAAATAGCAAAGAGAACAAGTAACATAGATGCTACACAGGTGTTCATCTCGAAATCAGAATATTGCCCAGTCATTTCCCAGACTGTGGGCACAAGACCAAAGGCCACCTCTGCACAGACGCTGCAGCTGACCCTACTCACAAGATTATAGATTTTGGCCTCTAGCACCTGTCTTCTTAATGCTGACTGTCTGAATGGAGCAGGTACTTCATAGCCAAATTTAAGCAGGAGGGAGGGCAGAAGACAGAAAGACTAATATGTCAGAGGATCTGTTTTAATTCTGCCATTGTACACAGCAGCTTTATTTTGGGTTTGCCACTCTGCTTTTCTGTTGTATACTAAAACAACATTGTCTTCACCACCTAGACATGGACAGGAAGGAAAAAGACACCGTAGAGACACGGCATAAAAAACTCCCAACAAACTTCAGAAAGCTCTTTTAAGACCAATTACTGTTTTTAGATATGAAAAGTTCTTTACTAAGATGATAAAAGTAGAATGGTTGAGGGCTGATGGAGTGGCTCAAGTGGTAGAGCGCCTGCCTAGCAAGTGTGAAACCCCTGAGTTCAAACCCCAGTGCCGCAAAAAAAGAAAGGAGGAAAATGGTTGACAGGTGTTCTACACTTCACGACAACGCAGTTAGCATTAGTTACATTAACTATCTAAGTCTCCAAAGACCTTGTGTAATAAGCCAAATATGGTGACCAAGTGATGTTTCCTGCAAGTCTCGTCTTCCCTGCTGATCTTGGTTGGACTACATCTGTAGGCTGTGGGAAGCTGCACAAGTAGTGCAGTCAGGTTTTACCTACCTTGGTTCCAATCTGGTTGCCACACTGGCCGATCTGAATGTGCAGAATTTCTCTCATCCTTGCTTGGAGGCCGAGGGTAAGATCTCAGAAGGCTCAGACTCTAAGACAGCTGCCTTCTCTGTGTGAGCACTGGTGGGACTGGCTAACCAAGCCACCCTTCCAGTCAGCCTAAGGGTGTGTCCAGCCCAGGGCCCAGATCCAGCCTTCCCTGCCCTCTGCCTATCATCCTTCAGAAGGGGGGATGCTTTTCCTCTCCTGGCAAATATTGCCCAGTCATTTCCCAGACTGTGGGCACAAGACCAAAGGCCACCTCTGCACAGACACTACAGCTGTCCCTACTCACAGCACTTGCCATGGTAGCCTCTGGACACCAACTGTGGTCCTGATGCCCATGTATGACAACTGAGTGGTGGCTCCCAGCTCCCTGAGGGTGGTGGGACCTTGGAAGAGTTTTCTCTGCCCAAGCGATCATTTCATTTAAACTTATCAGTGGACCTGTGATCTCCCACCATGCTTCCTAAGGAGCAATTTGAAAGCCACTAGCAGCACTCAGGTGACCTTGGGGGAAAACATGAGTGGACGGGTTTTATTTTTTAAATTATAAACTGTAATGTTAATAGAAGTAACTAGTACTTAAATAGTAAAATGATCATGGAAGAAAACTTCCTTTTTGAACTTGACCAAAGCTGTAAAGGCGACGTGATTTTTTAGGAGCTCAAGAAACCACCATCAAGAGAAAATACAAACCAGGCGTGGTGCCGTGGTGCAGCATGTCTGTAATCTCAGTGCTCGGGAGCCTGAGGAGGAGGGTCATGAGTTTGAGGCATATATATAGATATCTATCTATAGATATGTATATATCCATATCAATCCTGCCTCAAGAGAGAAAGACTCCATATCTTTCACAACCTGGCTCCAAACTGTCCTGCCAGCCTTTTTCCAGACTTTGATCCTCAGAAATACTGTGTTAAGACAAGACCGGAGAGATGGCCCCCAGGATGTGGACCCCAAGGTAACATGACCCTAGACTTAGGACCAGAGTCCCTGATGCCTCCTCCTTGCCTCCACAAGACCCCTGACCTTGGGTGAGTCATTGGAGCCAAACCCTGGAACTCCAGCCCCTGTTCTGAGCCTGAGATCGATCCCTGAGTCCTGTCCCTGAGCCCTGTCCCTGAATGCTCTCTTCAGGCCTTGTGGGGCCCACAGTGTGTTCAGGAACCCCAACAGGAAGGTGAGTAATGATGGAGCATGAGGGAACTGCTTCTTATTCCACTAGAATTTGGCCTCCATGTGTAAGGGCCTGGGCTCTAAACCACAAGAGAAACCCGGACCTGCGAGAGGCTGTCCTGAGAGCTCAGGGTCAAGTGTGCAGTTCTCCAGTATTACCTGGATGCCCATTAAGTGACCCAGATCCTGGCCAGATCTGTAACAGGGAAAGGAACTGCTCTAAGGGACATTGTTAGGACACCTGTCAAAATATCGACTATGAATACCGGATACCAACATTGCATCCATGTTCTGTTTCTTGACTTTGACCAATAGCACTGTGGTTCTGTGAGTGGAAGTCCTTGTTTTCAGAAGAAACTACACCTGGGAGCACTTCAGAGTCAAGTTGTTATGCCAGCCACTCACTCTGTACCATAACCACAGTGACGATGTGGTCAGTGTAGAGAAAGGAGGTAAGCAAATGTAGCCTGATGTGACCCACTGGTGAATCTCTTCAAAGTCAGCACACAAGCTACCCTCTTGCCATGTCTCAGTAGGTTTGGAATTTCTTTCTACTTAAACCTGAATGACCACACAATTCTCTGATGCTTCTGGTAAAGAGCAGCATGTGTAAAATCAAATAGAAATTCATTTGTACTCCTCAGTGTTTTCATAAGCTAAGAAGCGCACACAGAAGACAGTTCAACTTCCACAGAAGCTGACTGTCCCCTGCCTCAGCTCTGAGCCCCCCTCCCTCCCTCCCTCCGTCCTTTTTCCCTCTTGGTGGAGCCCCCTACCTACAAGACCTACCACAGCTCAGATGCAGCTTCTACTGCCACGCCCTCACCAAGGACCCCTGAAAGCCCTTAAATCTACAGTGGCCACAGTGGGCTCTGCTTGCTAATTACTTGTGCATGTGCCTTATCTCCTGACCAGCAGGGAGCTGCCAGTGTCATGTCACCTTTGAGTCCCCAAAGTGCCAGATATATAATAGGGACTCAGCAAATGTTTGTTGAGTGCACACCAGCAGCTGGGTGAGTTTGAGCAGCAATGCTCAGAACGGCAAGTTTTCTTAAAGCCAGTAATGTGTTTATTCAGGAGTGTGACCTTCTAATGGTGGGGTGGGGACGAGGTGCCCAAGGACTTTTTCATCCCTTCCCTAAGAGGTGGTCTAGGCTGAAAGTGTAAGCTTTTCCAAGAAACCCTGCCATAAGGCAGAGTTTGGAGGGGGAACAGCCACAGTGGGCTATTACCCTGCCATGACGGCCCGGGCCTCTGAGCAGAGCTGCTGAAAGGGGCCCATGTGGCTGCACACTGCCCGGCTCAGGGACTGCTGGGCTGGGCCAGAGGGCATTTTTGATCTCCTTGTGTTCATTCTTCGCTGTATGAGCAGGACCCAGTGTGCCAGGGTGCCCCCCCAGCCCTCCTCCCTGGAGCACATTCCTCTTGGTCACTCTCAGTTTGCTTAGGGAGGGGAAAGCATGGCTTCCAGATGGATGCTTAAAAGGCTTTTCTGTTAATGGGGTAGTTGGCAAAAAGGGGGAAGAAAAGAGAAGCCCTGTTTGCTTTGATTCCTGTATCGCCGGCAGTGTTGATTCAGTCTCGGCCAGGTGCCGAGCTTCGAAGGCTGGGCTGCTGAGAGGACAGGGTAGGGGCAGATGCCAGGCAGGGGAGAGCTGGCAGGTCCTCTCAGGCTGAAGTCCAGTTCCACCACTAAGGAGGACCCTCCCTACCCCTGAACTTTTTCATCTGTAAGACGGGATAACGGTCCCCAGGCACAAGTGTGTTGTGAGGACGAGCTGTCTATGGAGCACACACACACACACACACACACACACACACACACACCTGCCTTGCAGGCAGTGAGTTGCAAGCCTGCCTGTGTAGACAGAGTCATCCGTTCAACACCTGGACAGAGCTGCTTGTCAGCTCTGATACTGTCACGAGTACAGAGAGCTATCTGAATTACAATGTCTGGGCAGAGCAGAGGGTAGGAAAAGCAGTGACTCTGAAACAGCCATCTATCCATCTCAGCTCTGTTGTCCTTACTTCTGAAGGTGCCAGTTCTCCTGAGGAAAGAGCTCTCCTCTGACTACCAATATGGTACATGCCAGTGAAGTATGGATGTGCAGTTGCCCCGGCCTTAGACCAATACAAGTGGCCCTTTCCAGGACACAGCTGGGTGGTGCCCCTGGAGAGGCCAACATCATCCCCAAGACAGCTTTTCTGCCAGGCAGATGATGACCCCAAGCTCTGAACTTTGGCAAGTGGCTAGAAGTGACCATCTATGATGAATAACAAAGTTGTATTCTGCCCCCAGAGAGAGGCTGTGGCACAGGCAGGTTAGCAGTGACTGCCTTCAAGGGTAGAGTTTCACCTGGCCTTGCCCAAAGGGACAGAGGGTAGAAGCAAGGGCTCATCTTAGCATGCTGTGCATGCAGTTGCAGAGATGCTGAGATTATTAATCAGGACCAAACGGCCCTTCACCTGAGACCATGTCCTGCAGGCTGTCTCAATTAGTAGACCACAAGAAGAGAATGGTAGCAAGCCTTTTCCTGGATGATACTGGGGTTTATTACGGGAACAGAACTGAGAAGATAAGAAAAGCCAGTGTCACCCAGAAAACCCCCAATCGGCCACTTCCAGACTTCCCCCATGAGCTGCCCCAGGGGTCAGATGGAGCTCCCCCACCCTCTGCTTGGCAAATGAAATACAATTAGGAGAAAAACAGAGAATTCATTGATTTCATCTGCCCCTTCGGAGTGCGTTCAAGTTCCTTGAATAACTCAGAGAAGATTGTTGAATTATAGTGTTTGCTTGTGATTCAGACACAGAAATTTTTCCAAACGTCTTAGCAAGAAAATGACATCCGAGGGGCTGTTATGAGTGACTCAGAGAGTGTAGGCAGCCCCTCAGATGAGTGGAGCTCCACTTTCCTGCACCCTGCTTCCATGTGTGTTCTCTTTCTGGAAAAGAAAGTTCTAGGAGGATGAATAAGTAACTTCAAGAGGACAGGGGCTGGGAAGACACGGCCGTTTTGTTACTTGCTTTATGGGGGAGTCTTTGGCCTTCTCCCAATACTAAAATAGAGACCTACAATGCCCAACACCACCCCGCTGGCCATCCTGGTGTAGTCACAGACTGTGCAAATGCCTGGCCACCTCTTGGGAACCTTGACAGCAGCCTCCTGAACTGTGACTTCTTTGATTTACAGGTGGAAACACACATACACTCCACTTCCCCTGAGTGGGGTGACTCCGGCTGTGATTTGAAGGTAATGATGCACCAGCCTTCTCAACTGCATCTTCCACCTTTCTCCCCAGGTGTGCAGCTACTGATAAGCAACTGTGGTGTGAACAGAGATAAACAGAATACCAGCCAGCACCTGGAGCCAAAATCAAACAGAAATACACACTTCTTCAGGCCTCGTGTTTGTCCAAGAAATCTGTTTTTCGAATCTCGGAAGTGCATTCGTTTGCCCAACAAATATTAGCAGAGTACTGTTCGGAGAGTTTGAGGGATGTTAGAAGAGCAAAAAGTATGGGCCCCGCCCTCCAGGGACTTGGAGGGTGACCAGAGAACTAGCTTTCCATTCTGTGGCCTTCGCCCATCTCTCTGCCACCACCTCTCCTACACTGCTGTACTTGGCCATCATGCAACCACCACCTTAGCCAGGTGAGTGTCTTTCCATCTTATAGAAACAGAGGAGGAGGTTTGGGGAGGGAACTGAGTCACCCAAGCCTGAGGACAGCTTGGTGAGCCATAAATGTACTCTCCCAGTTAGGGTCACTGTTCCAGGTGTCAGGGGCAGGCCGGCCAGCCAGCCTGCCTCCAGTAGGGCAGCCAAGAAGCCCTGAGTGTGTATGACCAGCCTCCCATCCCTCTGGTGCAGAGCTGTGTCCTGTCCTCTTAGGCCATTGCTGTCAGCAATCCCCGCCACAGCACTGGGATTAGCCCCTAATGGACTTTTAGGACCTGCTTCCTTCCATGCCATCCTTCTGGTGACCAGGTCTCACCCACTGCCTTCCTGAAACTAGAGACAACAGGGTAAAATCCAATCCTCTTATGTGGCTGATATGATACAGGATTGGGAAACAACCTGGGCAGGGAACCAGGGAAGGGCAGAAAAGGCCAGGAAAGGAGGGAATAAGGAGAGATGGGTGGAAGGGTTCAAGCCTTGGCCCAGCTGTGGTGAGGAGTCCTGGATACCTGTGTGGGGTATCAGTGCCTATAGCCTGGTGGTCTGACAGCTCTCCTGGGACCTCCCCATGGGCTTCCCCTGGTTCATCACACCTGCCAAATGTGCCCACCTACCAAGGCATTTTCACACACTCAATCCCAGCTCATAGGATATCTAAGAGAATGGTTCCAGACCAAATTCTCCAGGGGCCCGTCACTAAGAGTTCCTGTTTTATCCGTTTCCAAGCCCTGTCTACCTCCTGAGCTTTTCCGTGTGTTCCCTCAGCAGAATGCAAGCTCCTCGCAGGCAGGGACCTTGCTTGCTAAAACAGAAGTCTGCTCTATGCTAGGTGCCACCAAATACATGCTAAAGGCCTGAATTTAGAGGACAAGTGATTTTGATCAGGTCACTGTGCAAGCAGGCCCAGGTATGCTGCAGTATGTGTTTGTGGACAATGGCAGGGTCCATGGCAAGCCTCGGCGCTCTTCTAACCATCCACAGAGGGGTTGGAGATGAGGCTGCAGCCCGTGAGGAAGCCATCATGCCCTGCAAGCCTGAGGGCCTCCTGAATACTGTCAGCAGCCATCAAAACAAATGTCGTATCCAGGAAGTGGTTCCACTCGGGAATGTGGAATAAGAGGAAGTGTGTGCAGCTCGCTTGGGTGGGAGCCAGACAATACAGCATGAAGGAAAGTGAGCAGAAAGGATTTTGAGGTCACTTCATGGTAAGCCCCAACTCTCTGCATTCTCTTCTCAGATTGGCAAGGTGGGCTGGCCCTGGCCTAACTAGAAAATATGTGTCTTGCTCTTTATAAGGACAAGGGGAAGATCAAATTATTTTTAGAAATGAATAGGCTTTTGTGTCTGTGGCCTTGGATCATGTGTTTTCCAGGAGACTTTATGGGACTTTTTTTTCATAAAAATATTATATTCAAATCTGCACTCAGGAGCCTCATACTAAGTGTAGGTCTCTTGACTTCTCTGGAGGCTTGGTCTTCCCATCTGTAAAATGGGACAATAGAATCTACACACACACACACACACACACACACACACACACACACACACACGGTTGTGGCAAGGCTCAAAGGAGGACTTTAGAGTCCTCCAGCACGTCATCTGCTCAGCCCTCTGCTCTTAAGCACGTCAGGAGCAGGAATGACTCAGTTACCTCTAAGAACAGCCTAGGGCAGATGGCCAGTTTCTCAGGCAAAGAACAGTTTACAGGGCAAATGGCTAGCCCTGACATACCTGCTTGATTCTGCCCCAAGCTGAATGGCAGAGACACACACTGCTTATAGAACAGTTACTAGAAGCAAGGACCAAACAAGTAGGGCCTCCCAGGTAGGAAGGTGCCAGGCCCTGCCCTGAGCTCCTCCGTTCCAGACCCAGAGGAGATGAGTCACTACCCCCAAAATGACCTCACTGACACCCGCAGTGCAGTGGTGTTGAGAAACACACCTTTCAGGTTTCCAGGAGTTCCTAGGCTGCCAGGCAGGTGAGTCTACTTTAAAAGAAAGGCCCTGGGGATAAACTCAACCTTCAGCAAGGGTCTGGCAGGCAGCCAGTCCAGCAGGTTCTCTGTGCTCCTCCACTGCTGTGGTCCCAACAACCTTCTCACTTTACCTGTGGGCCCTCCAGAGAACTCCTTGGGCCAAAGAGTTCACTAATAGCAGCACTGGAATTTGAATTTGGTTGGGTCAGTGGCCACCCCAGGCAGAACAAGCTCAGGGATTTACTGAAAGGATCCCTCCAACTCAACTTTAGTGACCTGCAAAGTGATGCAGTTCAACAGGGCTTCTCAAAGCAGACTATCAGGTGGATATGCACCCACCAGACCAGAGCCAAGCTCAGAGGGAAGATCACCTGACACACTTGGCTTTGCTGGGTCTGACCCATCACAAGGGGCTGAAAAGTAGACAGCAAGTGAGTCACAATCTCACTTCCTTCTTCTTGGCTTGAAAATCAATGTGTGGACCCCCTCCCTTCCTCTCCTGGCCTGTGTTAGGGAAACCCCAGTGGGTCACTGCTTGTCCATTTTGTTTTTAAATTTTTTTTATTTTATTATTTAGGTGGCACTGGGGTTTGAACTCATAGCCTCATGCTTGCTAGGCAGGTGCTTTTACTGCTTGAGCCACTCTGCCAGCCCAGCTGGTATATTTTGGATGTCTTATTCCTTACCAGCCTAAAATGCCCCTCCCTTTAACCTGCGTTCAGTGAGATTCATTCAAAGAGTTACTTCACGACCTGTGCTTATGGAGCAGAACTGTGAGTGCTTATTATCTTCGATGACCCTCCCCTGGGGCTGGCAGGTGACATGAGATCATCAGAACAACTACATAATTTGCAGAGCCTCCTTCATTACACCTAGTGTGGGGGCTCTTTTGAGCTTGGGGCACTGTGTGACTGCTGGGGTCACATGTCCACCACTGCAGGTCTTGACTGCCTCCAAGCCTTCTATGTGTGGAGGACCTGCTTTGAGAATCTCAGGGTGTCTTCAGAGTACCCCAGGTGTCCCAACGCCACCTGACAGGAAGCGCCATGAGTTCAGCATGTCTGCTTGCAGCATTAGGGACGAGAGCCCCGGCATGTCCTCTCTCCCTCTCTCTCTCTCTCTCCTCCCGTTTCCTGTGTTGAAGAATGTGGTTTGGACTTTTGTACCACTCAGATCCTGACTATCTACTTGGGGTGTTTTGCCCCACAGATAGGGTTTTTAGTTTTTTCTTTTTTTGCAAGATTAATTTGCTTATTTTGTGGTGCTGGAGACTGAACTCAAGACCCGGGGCAGGCTAAGTACATGTTCTGCCCCTAAGCTGCATCCCCAGTTCCTAGCTTTTTCTTTAAAGGAGACAAAAAAAGCTTACCACTTCAGTAGACCCTATTTGATGACATCGGAGGGCCAATGGAGCCCAGCTTTCTTTATCCTGGGAATGACCTGGTTCCCTTCAGGCATGGAGGCCAGAGAGGAGAAGGAGGGAGCAAAAGTGGAGCTGGTGAGTCCCTTCCCACCCTTCGTCCCCCCACACCAAGCACAGGCCTTTGCAGCCAAGCTGAGGCTTCTCTCTGTTGGGGAGAACTAGCCTTGGAGTGGGGTCTCCAGAACTGGAGCACTCCTCCCAGGATTTGAGGGTGCCTCACTCACCCCACCCACCTCCCCGCGCCTGGCCGAGGGGAGGAATTATGGAAAATCCTTCCAAAGACAAAAACACCAATAGACAGAGCCCTGTGTCTACGCTTTACCTCAGTGACCACTGTTCAGCTGAGCCTGGCTTTTCCGTCTGAGACCTTGCTCTGCTCTGACAGAGGTGTCAGGAATCCCCAGTCCTTCTGGGATTCCCAAGAGTGGTCTTGGAGGTAACTGGCAGGCAGCCAATGTGATTCCAAGCAGAGGAAGATGTGTGTGTGGTGAGGGGGTCTGGCAAGTGTGCAGAGAGCAAGGGAAAAGCAAAGTGAGCTTCCCAAGGGCCTCAGATCCCAGGCCTATGGAGACCCAAAAGCAAGAGGCCTGGGCCCTTTTCTTACAAGATGGAGGAAAGTATTCTGTGGCTTGCTGACAGTGACTACCCCTCACGGGGCACATAAGGGAGGGAGAAACCTTCAATTATGAAACTGAGTCCCAGGGTCTCACTTCTGCTTTTGGTCCCTCATTCGTGAAGTCGGCTTAGCAGGAAGCCTTTCCAAGAATCCTTGGGAGTCCAGTGCAGAACTCATGACTTAAGTGCCAAGCAAAATTTTCCTTTGGGGGCACTTTCTAGAAGGATCTTGCTTCCTGTGACTGATAATCATCTTTCCAGAGAGGGCCTGGGCCTTTGGGAAAAGGTTCAGAAAGCCCCAATTCTGTGGGGTCGGAGGCCTCCGGCCAGGACTTGGGGAATCCATAGAGTTCCTAGGGGAAGCCTGGCGCAGTTGGGATGCTAGGGGCATCTCTCCAGAACAGGGCCCCAAGAATCCTGGGCTGGGGCCCCTCACCCCACGCCAGGGCATGGGGACCCCAAGAAAATGAGTTAAGTTTGACACTCACACACTCGTGAAGCCACTCAACCACGGTGGCTGGTGGTGGGGTCAGAGCTGGGATCTTGGCCACGTGACCTCGTGCGTGACTCCCAGCTCGGGCGACCCGGGGCCCGGGGCGCGGGGCGGGGCGGGGCGGGGCAGAGCGGTCGCGGGACGGCCCCGCCCCGGGGGTGTGTCCGGCCGCCGCGTTACCTAAAGGGCCGGGCGGGGCCGGCCTGGCGCGTGGGCCGGGTCGGGGCGCGGGGTCGAGGGCGCGGCGCGGACCCGAGCGGGAGCCGGTGCGAGGTCGAGGATCCGGAGCGGGACCCGCAGCGCAAGCATGGCGTCGTCCGGGCCGGTGCGGCCGACGCTGCTGCTGCTCGTGCTGCTGGCGGGCGCGGCGCGGGCCGGGCTCCACTTCCGCCCGGGCCAGGGCTGCTACCGGCCCTTGCGTGGCGACCGGCTGGCACAGCTGGGGCGCAGGTGGGCGCGAGGCGGTGGCTGGGTTGGGGACAGGCCCGAACCCGGGCGAGGCGCGCACTCCGGCGTCCTGGGACCCAGCCTCTTTGGGGGTCCCAGGAACCGAGGCGCCCTGCCTCCCTAGGCCTGGGAAGCCCTGATCCGGCCCCTCGGCTTTGGGGCTCACTCTCATAGGCGGGGGTGCACTAGTGTCTGCCAGCTAGGGCCATCTGCATTCCCTCGGGGACGCGCTCCCACGCACCCGTCTGACCTTTGGACCTTGCACCACTGACTGGCATTGCTTGGAGAGCACTAGGGTTCTCTAATTTCGGGAGCGCCCTGCCTCTTTCACAGTCTGATGGTGCTGGGTCTGTTGCCTCACCTGGGGATGGAGGCTCTAACTCCCACGCCCATGGCGGGAAAGGGCCTAGGAGCTCCAGTACTGACTTTGATGGGTTGGTTTCTTCCCAGGACATACCCCAGGCCTCATGAGTATCTGACCCCATCCGACCTCCCCAAGAACTGGGACTGGCGCAACGTGGATGGTGTCAACTATGTCAGCGTCACCAGGAACCAACACATCCCCCAGTACTGTGGCTCCTGCTGGGCCCACGGCAGCACCAGCGCCATGGCAGGTGGGTAGCTGCCACTTGACTGTCCAGGCTGCCTCCTGGTGAACACAGGCCACCATAGCCCCGGGGTCCGCAGCCTATGATTCTGTACCAGGATTCAGCCTGGGCATTTCCCTCTGCCAGGGAGACTCAAGCTGGGTCATTCCACAGAGTCTCCACTGTGGGCCTGCTGGGGCCTCTGGGTGCCAGGCAGGACTGGGACTGAAGCTTGGTGACAAGAGCTCACAGATGCCCTCTCTCCCCCAAACATTCAGCCATTGGGATGGAACCAAAAATGCAAAATCCCCGAGTCCCCAGCCTGTCTCTGAGGACAGGGAAGTGAAACTGCTTCTCAGTAGCAGTTAATGTTTGAGACAAACATTGTCCTGCACTTGAAATATTGAGTGAGATTGGCCACCTGCAGCCACCCACCTAATCTGGTCACTGCTCTCAGCCTGGCCAGCTTTCTCATCTGGACCTTAGCCTTGTGGGCCCCAGTGAGGACAGGAAGACACAGGGCCAGGAGGGAGCATGGATCTGAGCACCATCGTGAGTGCTCCTGCACCCAATGGGAGAAAAGATGAAAGCAGAGGAGCTCCAGGCCCACCCATAACTCTTGGGAACGGCCCTGCCATCTCCTGTAGCCCCGGTCCAGGAACCTGACTTCCAGTGGAGAAGCGATTTGCCCTGACTGGAAGTTTGGCCCAGCTCGGTGCTGTTTTCTCCCCTGGTTTGGTATCTCTCTAGCCAGGCCTGTGCTGAGGGTTAGTGGTAGTGTGGCTGCAGCTTATTTAGGCCTCTTAGCTGCCAGGCTCACTCTGTTTGCAGACTAGTAAACTAATTCTCTTTGTGGAAGGTGTGGAGACTTGGGCATAGTGTGAGTGACAGCTGGGATTCAGCCCCAGAAACCTGGGCTGTCTCTAGGGCGAAGAGGTCCTGGCAGCATAGGGTCTGGGGCATCTAGCAGAATCTCCTCTGGTGGCCTGGTCCTGTCTCTTTGGGGACTGGTGAGGAGGCCCCAGGGGACTGGAACATACTTCTAACCCTTCTGGAAGGAAGGGCTGAGCTACCATCTTAAGAAATGGAAGGTCTGGAGTTACTGGACCAGGCAGATGGGGTATGAGTGGGCCTGAAGGTAGAGGATTGAGCAAAGTCCAAGAATGCTCCCTGGAGTGGGTGGCGGAGCTGCCATTGGGGAAGCGAAAGGGCCTTCTCAGCAGGGACCGAGTGACTAAGAAGGTCACTAGGGCTGTGTAGGAGTCACATGATATTGTTTGCGTTGCAGAAGATTACAGGGCACTGGGAAATGGCTAGAGGCTGGTTGGGCTTTGTCCCCTCTTGGGTGGGTGTTGGGCCCTGCCGAAGTGGCAACCTACCACATTCTGAGATGGAACGTCTCCGGACAGGTGGCTGCTGCACCCCTCCTTCTTCTTAAGCTCCTGAGATCTTCGGCTGCAGACCTTGCTTCCTCTTTCACTGGACGGGAGAAGCCACCAAAGGGGACTTCTATGTGGCCATGTGCCAGCCACTGCAGCAATGGGGCCAGAATTTGCATCTAAGTCCCTCGCTGAGGCCACCCCTCCCTGTCATAGGAAGCCATCTTCATCCCCTCAAGAGGCTCTCCCACCCCAAACAGTGACCCTTGGTCTCAGCCTACCTCCTACCACTCCAATTCCTGGCTCTCACAGGGGGATCTGAAGTCCCTCCTCCTTCCCACTCCAGCCTCCTTCCTCTCCTTTCTTGAGCCCATGCTGGCTTCACTTCCATTTCTACCACTCCACCGTTCCTGCCGCAGTCACGGGGCCGCTGGTGGGCAGAGGCAGACAGCTATGTCCGCAGGCCTCCTGCTTGACTCTGCTCTGCCACCTCCCTGAAATGTGGCCTTCACTGCACCACACTCACTGCCTCCTCCTCCCCACCAGCCCTTCTCGTCTTCCTTGCTTTCGCCTCATTTCTAAACTTCCAGTTCCCAGGTCTGAACTTTCACTGCACTCACTTCACATCCAACTGTCTATCACCCCGTCTTCTAGATCCCTGTCACTTCCAACCTCAGATGTTCCGGTTCACACTCCTGCGCCCCCCCCCCCCGCCTGTCTTTCTCTAGCCCTTCCCCCAGCTGATGCTCATGCAAAAGCGTGGAAGCTGCCTGGCCCCTCCCTGTGTCCCTCCTATAAACTGGCTCCTGTACTCCTTCCTCCAAGATGCCCGCCATCACTCTTCACTGGACCTGACTGCTGCCCTTGTTCCTGCCTGGTCTCAAGACTAGAATGTGCCTTTTAAACCCAAGTCTGGTCCTGTTTTTCCACTTGAAACCTTCTCATGGTTTTGCTTAGATAAAAGACAGAACCCTTTGTGACCTACCAGAGCCTATGCATCCAGTTCCTAGACTCCAGGCTGCTCTTGCGGAGGTTAAAGCATTTGCTACCTTGTCGTGCCAGGTTTCTCTTCTGCCCATATCCTCCTTGGATGGATGTCCTGTTGGCCACCCTATGTAAATGATACTTCACCCCCTGACATGTGCTCATAGCACTGTATGTTTTGCCATTTTGCCTCCCTCTCAACGGTTTGAGCCCCATGAGGTGGACAGTAGTCTGCTTTGCTCTGTCTGTGTGTATAGTACACAGGATAGTGCCTGACATATGGCAGATGTGAATAGAAACCTGCTAGCCTGTCACCAGTAGCTCACACCTGTAATCCTAGCTACTTGGGTGGCTAAGATCAGGAGGATCGCTGTTTGAGGCCAGCCCAGGCACATAGTTCGAGAAATCCCCATCAAAATAACCGGAGCAAAATGGACTGGAGGCATGGTTCAAGCAGCAGAGCACCTGCTTTGCAAGTATGAAGCCCTAAATTCAAACCCCAGTCCCACAGAAAAAGAAATCTGTGAGAAATGGGAAAGTGAGAAGGGTGGAAGTGGGGTGTAGAGAGGAATAAGGAGTTTGTGGTCACGTCAAGAAGCCTGGTAGTGCCTCAGCCAGTTGGTCAGTTTGGATCTGGACATCTAGGTTGGATGTGGAGGGAGAGGCCAGGCCTGAAACTGTCCAGCCAGTCATTGCCACTGGGCCTTGGCTGCTGTCACCCAGAGGGAGTTGGTGAGAGGAGTGAAGGGCTCCCAGCAGGCCTTAGGAAACCTGCGCTGCCAGTGCAACTGAGGTGGTCCAGGCAGGAGGTGCTTCCCAAAGGCTGCCACTGCTGGGAGAGGCTGTTTGGCTGAGGATGGAGATAGGGACCTTGACAAGAGTGACTGCAGCAGAGCTGTAAGGTAGGCATAGCTGAAGAGAGATGTGCAGACAGCGGGGTACCTGTCTCACACAGCTGTGGGGGGGGCGGTGGCTGGGCTGTGTTCTGAGAAAGGCAGGTCTGCGTAAGTGCAGAGGGCCATCACCGATGGGGGCAAGGAGGGAGGCTGGAAGGAATCAAGTCCTGGGGAAGGAAACGGGAGGGACCTGGGCCTGTGTGCCCTGGGCAGCTGAGCACCGTCCTGCAAATGGCATAGGCAGTACATTTGTGGACCTGGGAGCTGGACTAGGTGCTTTTTGGGTTTTTCAGCGACATGCTCAGTGAGGTCATGAGGTGGGTGGGTGGGTTCCAGAAGGCCCTGTTCTGATTGGATGGGTGGACTTGTGGAGCCAGGACCAAAGTGGGTGAGAATCTGGGAGGTAACATAGGTGGCACAGAAGTGGAGGTCACAGGAGGGATGGAAGAGGGACACAGGCTGGGAGGGGCTGCTGTGGGTTCATGGTACCCAGAGGAAGAGCAGATGAGGCTGAAAATGAGGGTGGCTGGTGTGTGTTGTAACGCTGCTGTCCAGAGAGTAGAGAGTGAGATGACCCTGGAGTGAGTAGGACTGGCCAGCAGGTCTGGGTCCCCTTCTAGGAGGGGAAGCAGGTCAGGTCAATCAGTCAAGCCGCAGTGGGTACAGTGGCTGCCCTGCCTGTCCCTGGCTGCCCCCAGTGTGTAACCCTAGGCAGTGAGGGCTGCTCAGAGTCCTCTGTATTCTGGGGGGAGCTTGGAAACTGGCTCCCTGCTGGCCTTCCCTAGCAACGTGGATGGCATCCAGCCCCTCCCTGAGGGTCATCCAGCTCCCTGGGCTGTGCTGGCTCATGGAGACACCTCCCTTGGCCCCTCTCTGGTGGGAATCTGGCAGAAGGCTCTGGTGCCACCCTCTGTACTGGTGGGTGAGTAGTCATTTTCCAGTCTTCTGCTAAGTGCTTCTTGGGGACCTGCACATCTGGCCCTGCTTTCAGGTACTTGCAGCCCACTGTGTCCAGGAAGGGTCACAGCTGAGCTGAGGGCTCCATGAAAAGGTCTGCATGGCAGGGGGCATTCCAGAAAGGGACACACACAGCTGGAGCCATGAGCACAGGCTGGAGGCTGGACAGCGAGCAGCACCTTGTAACCTGATACAGGCTTCCTGTGCCACTTGAGGAAGTGGGACTGGGTTCAGACCAGCGGATGCTGACCAGGGTACTGACCATTGCAGATCGCATCAACATCAAGAGGAAAGGCGCGTGGCCCCCCACCCTGCTGTCGGTGCAGCATGTCATCGACTGTGGTAATGCCGGGTCCTGCGAGGGGGGCAACGATCTGCCAGTGTGGGAGTACGCCCACCAGCACGGCATCCCCGATGAGACCTGCAACAACTACCAAGCCAAGGACCAAGGTAGGCTTTGCCCAAGCCCCACATCGCACCCCACTCCCTGTTCCAAAGGAGATGTGTCTGTAAGCCAGGCCAACTCTGTGTATGCTATGACTGGGGTGCCAAAGAGGGTGGGGACAGAGAAGCCAGCCCCAAGGGAGAGCTGGTTCCCAGAGTTGGTTCCAGTCTCATCCAGGGCCATCTTGGACCCAATGGGACTAGAGAGCAAAAACCTGGAGCTCATCATCCTTGTTGAGACCAACAAAAAGCTTGGTGTGGGAAGAGGCCAGAAGAGCAAACCCCACCCCCCCACCCCACCTCTGGGTCTCCAGCCTTAGAACAGGTCAGACCCATTGCCCCTGAAGTCAAGCCTGGATGCGGTATGCGAGTTCTGATATCCGCATTGGGTGGTTTTATGGGCTTTGGTAGGAAAGAGCTGCAGGTGGGCCTCACATAGGGAGGAGTGCTGGTGAGAAGCTGCTGTTCTGAGCTATAAATCAGTGGGCTCTGCTGTATTGCAGCATCAGCCTGGTGCTGGCCCCAACAAGCTTGGGCCCAGCATGGCTGAGCAGGGCAGATTGGCCTGAAGACCTTTACTTGGCACATTCCTTCCGTGCTGTTCCCTTTGGAAACCAAAGGAAAGAAAAAGCCCAGACACGGACCCTTAAGTGGCAGCTGTAAGCCACCAACCAAGATGTCTCTCACAGCTGGAGCAAAGAGCTTGGGAAAAAAAACCAAGGCTTTGGACCTGGAACAGGGAGCGAAGAGTGGGAGGAGCCCTGTGCAGGGTGCTGCCCCATCAGAGGGCTGGAGGGCACTTGACTCCATGTCTCCCAGTGGGGGTCCCTCACCTGGCCTCCTGGGCCTTACTGCCCAGACCAAAAGAATTCTCTGGACTGGTTGGCTGAGTCCTCTGTCCTGACTGGGTAAACCTAGTAGGACAGAGACGCCAGAAGGGGGAAGGTAGAGAAAGGAAGGCCAGCAGATTGTCCTGTGGAATGCCCTTGGGACTTTGTCCACCTTATTCCATCCCCAAACTGGTGTTGTCCAGCTGAGGCTAGGCCCCTCTAATTCCACCCAGCCTGACAGGTGAATGGATCTCATCAGAAACCTGATTGTAATAAAAACCAGTTTTGTCTTTGTATTAGCAAATGTGGGTAAATCTACCAGTTGTGCTGGGCACTGGGCATTTGGTTTCCAAGGGACAAATTAAACCAGCACTTTAATCCTCCAGGAGTTTACCTCCCGGGGGTAGATCTAGGCAGATGTGTAGTTGTAGCAGGAATGAGTAACAGCAAATGTGGTAGAAAAGCAGGTGGAGGGCAGGGCAGGTAGAGACCAGAATGCCCTGGGTTGGGGTACGCATCAGGCAGGACTAAGGCCTCACTTTCTTTTTCTTTTTCTTTTTCTTCTTTTTGTTAATGTCTAATTTTTTGAAACCTCTTGAACCAAATAACAAGTGTTTCTTCTTTGTAACCAAATGCATTGGCCTATGTGTTCACTAGCCAGCAACAGAATCATCTTAAGTTTTAGTAATTTGATTATACTCAGTTTTCAGCTACAAAGTATTGTGCAAAGGTCCTTCTTCTGGCCTTTTGAAGAAAAGAGAAAAAGGCCAACTTTAGAGTGCTTGCAACATGCTCACTAAAGCTTGCCCTGTCTGCTCTGCTACGGCTGCAGGAGGCTTTTCATAACTCCTTTGCAGCTGAGAGAAGTGCATTATTAAGCAGCACCTGATCGCAAGATGACTTGCGCTATTAGCTAAGGAACAGTAGACTAAACCAGAAAAGTGGAGGGGATGGGGCATGTTTGTTAGTGGGTTAATGAGGAGACAGTCTCACGCTGACTTCTAGCTCTTTCCTAGAGTGTGACAAGTTTAACCAGTGTGGGACCTGCACCGAATTCAAAGAGTGCCATGCCATCCAGAACTACACCCTCTGGAAGGTCGGGGACTACGGCTCTCTCTCCGGGAGGGAGAAGATGATGGCAGAGATCTACGCCAATGGCCCCATCAGGTGAGGGTCTGTCAGGTGTGTGCACCTGTGTCATTTCCGTCCTTTCCTTCTGGCTAGTCTCATACCAGCTGCCACATTACCCTCACCTTAAGCACTTGTTTTCTTAGAAATAAACCTGAGCCAGTACCTGACCTGCCCCTCACAGGCTCAGTGGGTAAGATACATAGAGGAGAGGCCCTAGCTGTGATGGGGGGCGGAGCTGCGTCCACTGGGAGTGCTACCACAAAGTCCATCCAGAGGCACCTGATGTGTGCTAAGCTGGATTTTCACAGTGGCAGACCACCTCTACCTTCTTCTGGTGTAAGGGGGATTTGAACTGCTTGCTCGCAGCTGCGGAATAATGGCAACAGAAAAGCTGGTTAACTACACCGGAGGCATCTATGCCGAGTACCAGGACAAGGCCTACATAAACCATATCATCTCTGTGGCTGGCTGGGGTGTCAGCAGTGATGGGATTGAGTACTGGATTGTCCGGAATTCATGGGGCGAACCGTGGGTAAGACATTTTCCCTTTCATCAGGTCAGACCTAGAAAATGGAGTCCACACTCCTCTCGCCTGTGGCTCTCTTGATGTCTCCCTGAGAACTGTGGCCTTGAATTGAGAGCTTCTCGGTGAAGCCATCTCTCTCCACCAAGGACACCTGGGGCCAGACCCCTTTGTTGCATGGGGCTGTTACTGCCTTCCTGGCAGCTTCCCTGCTCTCTACCCATAGGTCCCAGTAGTTCCTCCCACAGGCCTCAGCACCTGCAACCAAAACTGTCCCAAGACACTGCCAAGGGCCCTGGGCCCGGCTGGGACGCACTGCTGCAGACTGCCTCCCTCCTGTACCACCAGCTCATTCCTGCGCCTGCCTATTTCAGGCTCTCCTAAGGAACGTGCTCTAGGTTTTTCACAAGACTTCTGAGCTGGGCCAGAAACTCAGGGGAGACAACTGCCAGATTCCTAAGACCTAGCACTCGCCACAATAGCTCAAGACTCAGACCTCACTAATAGACAGGGAGCGGGCCAAGTGCTCAAGTGAAAGGTCAGTTCTTCTTAACTAGCCACACCTGGGGGTGTTACCCGGCAGACACGTCACCTGGTTTAGAATACGTGCTTGCTTGCATCAGTTGCCACTGGCACAGAGGGCCATGTGTTGAACATTAACCAAGTGAAACCTTTCATAGAGGATACTTCCGAATGGGACCATGGGAAGGCATGACAGACAACTAGGTAACTGGTCCAGACATTTAGGACCTGCAGGGCCAGGTTGAGTGCAGAGACCAAGAGCAGGGTCTGAGTCTGAGCGCAGGGCAGGATGCAGGGCCCGTGTACTTGAGCTAATACTTGCATTTTGCTCCTGCAGGGAGAGAGAGGCTGGATGAGAATTGTGACCAGCACCTACAAGGACAGGAAGGGTGCCAGCTACAACCTTGCCATTGAGGAGTCTTGTACCTTTGGGGACCCCATTGTTTAAGTGGATGTCTCTGGAAGTGCAATTCTGGAAGTGATGTCATGAACTGTCACCAGAGGAATCTTACAGCATGGGTACAGGACCCTGGTGAATGTCAATACTGAATCCTGGTAATGGTGCTGAGCCCCTAGAGGAGATACCTGTCAACATGAGAACCTGTGTGGTACTGACTGAAAGAGCATCCTGAGAAGACCTAAGTAGATGACAACAACTGCACAGGACCCCACCTCCCAGTGCCTGTGGTCGGCCATCTGAAGAGTGGTCCTTGAGAAGGGAGCATGGGACCTCCCCTTTCTCAAACAGAGGGCTTGGCCTTTGCTATCTAGTAGCTGTGGCCTGTACTGGCAATTTAAGAAGTCAAATGATTCAAGACTCACCAGTTCTGGTGTCACCTGGGGGTCAGTGGGGGGCGGTGGGGGGGTAGTAGCAATTTCAAGTTGCCCAAGTGATGAATAAAATACCTGGCTTCACCCAAGGACACAGCCCAAGCGTACCTTATTTACATGAGAACAATGTAACTTCCAATCCAACACAAAGGCTTTTTAAAAATTTATTATTATTAGCAAATCTAAACAACTACGATAAAAGAACTAACCAACTGAGTTCTTGAGAAAACCGAAGTCAGCTTGAAAGTGGTTGGTTCACTGAAGCATCTTTCTGAATTCCCACCACCCCTGGGGACTACTGGATTCCCCATGAGGGACCACAGGCCTGCCTCCTGTACTGAGGTAAGCAAGCACTACACACAGGACACAGGGCGGAGCTGCACTGACCAGAGAAGGGCCTGTCCGTAAGAGCAGGTTGCACAGCACTACCATGCTCTTTTTAAAACAGTTCCACCCCTCCTAGCAGACCCCATGTCTAAGAGGCTGAGCGAGCCTCTGCAAACAGCAGCTTCCTGAAAGGGTCCTCCACAGCTGGGCCCCAGAAGGTTCTGCTTCAGCCCTGCCAGGTACTGGCATTCAGTTCACCATGATGAAGTTAGACTTGCAGTGAGCTGCAACAGGAGGCAAAGTCACTGGTCAGAAACGGGAGGTGAGAGGTGATGTGTCCCACTGAAGCAAAGGGATACTGGAGTAGGCCTTACCGATGAATTCCGTCACAGGATCATGTTCGCCTTCTGTTTTGATGGTGCCTGCAATGCTGTCATTTTCCAAGATGGGGAGGAAAAGCTGCACGAAGTCAGAAGTGTACGGAGGGGCAATAACATCCAGCACCTAGTGGAGAAACTCAAGTTAGTTAGTGTGCCTGCATGGCTGGTGCGGACTCTACACCAACATTCAGGGAGATGACTGTTAGTCCAGAGATCACCTGCCCTCCCCCTTGGCTTCCCTGGCAACACCAGTCTCCAACCCTTAAGGTACCAGGGTGGTAATGCAGGGAAACACAGGTATGAGATGCTCAGCCAATTGCTGTCATAGTCACCGCCATGATTATCAGAAATAGTTCCCAGAGTTAGGTACAAAATAAACTAAATTAAGGCAGAAGGGGCACTGCTAGTGTAAAGAGTATGAAACATGAAACCAACGGTGCGTTGCTGACCTCAGTGACAAAATATCGAATGAGTGAAATGTCAGTGTCCAGCTTCTCCAGACACTTTCGGATGTAACTGACCACAGGAAGTACATAACCTCGACTCAGCAGGTGAACCATCCTGTCCAGCAGGGTCTTCTTCAACTCAAGCTGCAGAAGAGCAGGGGGGCAAAGGAGCTGGTCAGAGCAGGGTGCTCCCCAACCCTGCCAGGCTCTGGGGCGCTTCTTACCTGCTCCATCACGTCCAGCTGGGAGTGTTCAGTCTCAAAAAGCTTAACAAGCAGCTGCAGGACCTGGGGGTGCAGGAGCTGGTGGCAGGTGCTGATCTATAATAGGCCACAGGGATCCTCACTGAGCAGTGTGGTTGGGCCTCCAGGCTCACTCTCAGCACACAGACAACCCAAAGCAGCTCGTCACTGATGATGCACACAGTTCTGTATGCTGGACCCAGGACTGGCCAGCTTCTAGGCTACTCATTCTTCCCATGACACTTGATAAAAACTGAGACATCTACACAGTCAATGAAACTACATCCTTATAAGGAAAATCCTCACTTAGGAGATGAATGACTAGCTCTGAACAGAATACTGAACTCACCCAGTAGATGCAAAGGAAGCACCAAGACGAAGGTACAACACACAGACCCATTGGATACGTCATACCTGGTCCTTTCACCTTCTTACCTCATCCAGCAAGGCCAGGTGTACTGGAGTGTGGTCAGTCTGCAGTTGGAAGTACCTTGGTTCTGACACAGTCCAATCAACCCATTTCAGCACGCCCATTGCTACCACTGGGAACCTACCGTAAACAAGAGTGCTTCCTTTAGACCAAGAGTGGAGAAACGGCTACCAAAACATCCTAGGAGAGTATTAAGGTTAGGAGCCTAAGAACAAATTCCAAGTTCCATCAACTCGCTCTTAACTATGTGCAGCCATAGTAGAGTATAGTGGGAGTGGCTTGATGAGATCAGCAGCCTCTCAAAGGTGCAGAGCAAGAAGCAAGATTTGATTCTCAGTTCATTTCAAACCACTTTACCAACTGAAAAGGTAAAGAACATTAAGCAGAACAATTTGGTGGACTGGGCTGAAGCTTACCTTTATTTAGCACACCCATTTTTAGTCTCCAGTACAAATAAATAAGGAAAAGATTCAAATGCTTAAGAGGATGCACTATTTCTAGTGCACATCTATTTACGTAACTGACATAATCACAAGTCATTTCTAAGCAAGACTTTTTGGTTTAACTTTTACTACAACTTTTTCTAATTCTGGGTGATCTTCCTTTTACTTGGGCTAATTTATGAGGATTTACTAAACAGTAAATACCTGAAAATTACTCATGCTACAAAAACTACTTAAAAGTTTTCCGTACATGTAAAAAAGAAAACTAGAGTACTTATGTGAGGCCTTTGTCCCCTAGTGAGTTTGGGACCCAGTGTCACTGCTCACCTAATACACTGATAAAGTGTGCTCAGCTCTGCCACAAGTTCAGAGGCCCCTTTGTTCTCATTGCAACACAAATTGTGAACGGTTTCTACGGCTTTCGACGTTGACTTCAACTCATCTTTATTGATGCTCACCCGCTTGTTCTGAAACACACACAAGCTTGGTGAATCATGACAGTGCTATGGTCTTGCTATCAGGGTATCCTGGCACAGGCCACCTCTCTCTGCAAGTCCCCTTTCCCATCTCTGAAGTCAGAAGGCAAGGTACTGTCAAACTGCACAAGTGCACAACATACAGCATGTGAGAACCAGCAAGTCTGCTGTCTGTGCATGGCTTAGGGAGTCAGTTTCATTTTTAGTCATACTTCACATTACAATTTGCAGAAGTATTAGAGAAGCTACATACATCTTCTTGGGACATTTAGCACTTTCACTATCTTATGCACAATATAAAGACATTTCCAATGCTAGGCAGACTCAAGATTTCTTATAGCCAAAAGCTCCAAATAATACCAAAGCAGAGGAGGACACCTGTCTCCTGAGAGCCCCCGAGTCCTCAGAGCTTACGGTACCTTCTTCCAGGTCTCAACCACACTTGCTGCATAAGCCAAGATGTGGATGTACTTGTGTTTGTGGTCCTGGTTGATCCTAGCTCCTGGCTTGAAGAGCGACTGCATGAACAGGTCCAGGAAGGCCGGCACCCGGATCTAAGAAGAAGCACACCAGGAAGGGGCTGGCAGGAGGCATGCACACTCATCCATCACGCAGGGCTCTAAGCAGCAGGAGCATGATGGGGAAGAATGGAAACCAGAAACATCAACAGGGATTTGTACTCACTGCCCAAGTGAGCGAGGGGAATGTAAGAGCCTTCCAAAAGCTACCCTGCCAGTGGGCCTCATTAAAATGAGAGGCAACTCACTAATTCAACAGGAGGAGGGTCCATGCTGGTAAACATCTTGAACAGGACGGTGATGTCTGCAGGATTCAGGGCTCCTTTGGACAGCATGGCCCCAAGGGCCTGGCAGGCCCGGGGGTAGGAGGCAGCTGTGCCCAAGGCCAGCGTGATCTGGCTAGCATCGTGGCCTCTTGAGAAAAAAACAAAAAACAAAAAACCATGCACAAGAGCATCACTAACGAGGCACCTTTTTCCTTCTTACATTTAAACTTGGGGGATCCCTTTATTTTCTCATATTTCTCTTATTCACTGATTTACTGACTAACTGACCTATGAACACTACATTTAGAGCAAACTGGGAAAGAACAATTCCAATATACCTTGTAGACTCAATAAAAGAATCATGTACTTTTTTTTTTTGGGGGACAGACTGGGTTTTGAACCCAGGACCTCACATTTGATAGGCAGGTGCTCTTTCCGCTTGAGCTACTCCACCAGTCCTTTCTTGTGATGGGTGTTTTTTCAAGAGAGGGTTTTAGAGAGCCTTCTGATCTCTCTGCCTCCTGAGCAGCTAGGATTACAGGCATGAGCCACCAGCACCCAGCAAGAGCGAGGAATCATGTACTTTTAAAAATACCTCATAAAGATTCAGTTGCAGAAGAAAGTAAAGCTACTAAGAGATCAACTTGCTTTGTAAGACAGCTGGCGAAGTGGCTCAAGTGGTAAAGCACCTGCCTAGCAAGCATAAGGCCCTGGGTCCAAACCCCAGTAGTGCCAAAAAAACCCAAACAGTTTATTCTTTAAGAAATGGACTCCCTGACAATCCTTAGCAACCACCTGAGGACTGTTCAGTGAGTAGTTTGATATCCAGACTCAGGGAGATCTTTGCCATGAATCCCAGCATCCAGTGAACTACAAAATGGTCGTCATGGCAATACTCTAAAAGGCAAGCTTTCCCCATGGATTAAAACTATCCTGACTTCCAGCTCTACTGGGCAGGAGTTCACCTAGATGCCAGAAGAGAAGGGGCTGCAGGCCAGGTTGTGGACCTAGGACGTAGGCTTTGTGAAAAGGGAGGGCAAGAAGAAACACAGCCTCACTTCTCCTGGGCAAAGCGCTGCACCTCCTGTGCGACCCTGCGCACCGCAGAGCCTCCCTGCTCCTCCTGAGCCAGGACGGACATCATGGCCTGTGCAAACAGGTACGTGTGCTCCCCATGGCAAACCATTTTCTGAAGATTACAGGGAAACAGGACTCAGTGTTACACCGTTAAGTGTAGAGAAGAGTTCTTGGGGCAGAGAAGAAGCTCTGGATAGGTGTCTTCTGATCTGGAGATGCTCTCCAAGGAAGGGGGCTTTCATGCTCAGAGACCCAAGACCCCAAATAGCATTCTTTTGACTCAAGATTCACAAAGTAAAGAACTTACGGCAAACTCAGGGAGATTTTTTTCAAGGTTTTCTTCTCCTCCATCCAAGATTGTGGCTAGAGAGGTTCGAAGCACTCTAGAGAACACTTCCAACTGCTGGCACGCAGTGGACACGCTGGTGATCTCCCCTTGGTACCCTGCATCAGAAATCAGCTGCCACACAAAACAAAGCTGACTGTCAGCACCACCTTTCAGAACATAGTGGCTGGCTGGTGTATGTGCCCAATGGAACAAGGCCAGTCTCAGGTCTCCAATCTTTACTCTGCCTCCTTCTTTGCCACAATGTAGGCTCTGACCCCCACTCACAGCCTCTCCTAGGGTTTCATGTGTAAGCGGAATCCGATCTTCCAGCCTTGCTAAAGGCCCTCAGCACACCTGCACAATCTAAATACATCCCTAGCTGATCCTCGAACAAGCCAATGCTCTAAGCACACGTATGAGTCCTACACTTCCTTTTCTCAGCGTAAGGCTTACTGCAGTGAAACAACGAACACCTTACTAAAAAGCAAATATGACCTTTCTAAGGAAACAGGACCACCAAACAATCAAAATTCCTTCATTTGTATACACTTTCATCTTTTCTCTTTCTCCAGGACTCTTCCTACCTTCACAGTGAAGTTAAGCATTAAGCAGTCCGGATGAGCTTCAGCTAGCTTATAGAACAGATCTCTCCATGTGGTGTGTGCGATCATCTGCTCAAGCCACGCTGGGGTCTGCAACAAGCAAGCAGTGAGATAAGAGGCCCAGTGTTAGCCTAGGTGAAGACTATGTTGTACAAAACAATCACAGGCTTTTCCAACTGGAAGAGCCTGATGGGTGACCTCAGTTCTGGCAGAAGCAGACCCAGGGCTAGCCATGGCCACACGATCAGCCAAGTGGCAGGCTGAAAGCCCCTGGATGCCCACTTACAGATTCTGATAACTCTAACTCAATGTGAGAGGGTACAGAAAGGCACCTCCTGGGAGACACAGGACAATCTTGTGGAAGCACATGTACAGCGGAGCTGCCACACACACACACACACACACACACACAATCAACTCCTCTCAATGGGCTGAAGGCCCTTGGCAGAAAAAAGACCTTCTTCTTTTTTTTTTTAATTCATATGTGCATACAAGGCTTGGGTCATTTCTCCCCTCTGCCCCCACCCCCTCCCTTACCACCAGAAAGACGTTCCTAATTGCACACGTGGTTCTGTTTATCGCTACATGCAATGGCCATGAAAATGTGTCTCCTGGCTCTCCTACTGTGCGACTGATGGATCAGAAGCTGCACCCTGAGCCTACCATCCTACCAGCCTGAGTGCAGGGGAATGCCTGAGGCAAGCCAGTCTAGAAGACAGGGCTCATTGGCCTGCTGGCACTCCTAAAAGCTGTAGTGTGGCCTAAGGCACTTTATACTGACTTCTTTACTGACCTCTAGCCTTCAGGATCAGACTCACAACCCAGGTTTCCGGTACCCCGGCCTCCTCTAGCACCTTCCTACACAGGGTTTCCTCCCCTCCACAATCTCCTGCATGTCAGACCCTGTCTCACCCCATACCAGAGCTGCACCTTGGAGTCAGCAGGAGTTTACTGTGCCTCTTCTTGCCTGAACCTCTTGGGTAAGTACTACATGGTCTGGGTGCCACAGAGAGGGCAGTTCAGCCCATGATGCCCAACTCCCATACTAACATGATCTGCCACATGCCACCACACACATGGAACTAGCAAAAGGCCTTGGGACATGCTGCCAAACAAGGAACAGTAGACCTCACCTCTCCTTCTTCTGTAAAAATAGAGTCTGCTTTGCGGGGGTCGAAATGTTTGATCAGTAAGCTCTTCAGGTGGTTCTCCACAGTCTCCTGGACTTGCACCGGCTCCACACCTGAAAGGAAATGGGAGCTCAGCAGATGACTGGCACCTCGGCGTTGCTGGTTCTACAGAAATGCCATTGCCAAGGTCTCCAAATGCCACAGAAGTGCTTCTGACCACTTCTGAAAGTGAACAAGATTTGGGACCTCTTAAAACTAGTTACGAATTCTAGTCAGCGGTAAGACCCAAAAAAAGGAGCACAGTGTGGAACAGCCAGGACAGTCCCCCTGACTACATAGAAGGGACAGCAAGATCTTCAAACTGCTACTGAGAAGACAAAGGGCCAAAGCAGACAGGTAGGAAGATGGAAAACACACCCTGCCCTCTGAAGAGCCCAGGTGCAGCCAAGAGCCACATTTGGATCTAAGCACGGTGTCAGCAGTGAGTCACCTGATTTCTGAACAGTGCTTACTTAAGTGATGTCACTGCACCCCATTCAATGAACTGACACTGAGGCTGCACTCGGATCTTATTAGCTAAAAGCCACAAAGAGAGCCAGCCCTGCGTTATCTACCGTCAACACTGCTATGACAGGCCTCCTGAAATGCTGCACTGAACACTGTGCTGTCCCATGCTCTCCTCATGGTGGGGAGAGCAGGCCCATGAGAACCCTGTTTGCAGCTATCTGCAAACCTCGGGGACAGAAGTGCAGAGCAGTCAAGCAGATAAAAACAGGAAAGAAGTTTAATTCTTACTCACAAACCTTAAAAACCAGAAACACAAGAAAGGTGCTGCCAATTTATCAGCATTATAGTAACCCAAAGGTCTATGAAAAGTGGGGGGTGGGGTGAGTAGCCAGGACAGGGCTCATCCTCCAAGCACCTGTCTGAATGAGCCACTCAGCCAGCAGGTTCACAGTCTGGGCCACAGCAGTGTAGTTCTCGGATAAGAGCTGGATGACATTCTCTGGAGACCCTCCTGCCTGAAAATACCTGGGGGGGGGGAAAAAAACAACTATTACAGTAGAACAAATGTGGGTGAGCTGGGGTAGATAGGGAGATAAGGAGAAAGGTAACCAGGTTTTAAGATGGATTTTATTTATTTATTTAAAACAATAAATAAAATTGGCAAACCTCTAGCCCAATTAACTAAAAAAAGAAAGAAAAAAAAAAAAGGAGAAGACCCAAATAAATAAAATCAAAGATGAAAAAGGGACTATTCCAATGACACCAACGGAAATACTTTGAAAACCTACACTCCAGCAAACTGGAAAATGAAGAAGAAATAGATAAATTTCTTGACACATATGACCCACCAAAATTGAACCAAGAGGTCATGAGAGACTTAAGCAATGAGACTGAGACAGCTATAAAGAACCTCTCAACAAAGAAAAAGCCAGGTCCTAATGGATTCACTGCTGAATTCTACCAGACCTTTAAAGAAGATCTAACACCAATGCTCCTCAAACTATTCCATAAAATACAAAGGCAAGGAAAACTACCAAACTCATTCTAGGAAGCCAGTATTACCCTAATATCAAAGCCAAGTAAAGATGCATCAAGAAAAGAAAGTTAGGGGGGTGATCTAACCAATAAGCAGTATAAATCTATTTGAAATTGTCACAATGAATCCTGCCTGTACAGCGAATAGATCCTAATAAAAAATTGATAAAATAAAAAAAGAAAGTTGTGGGCCAATATCTCTGATGAACATAGATGCTAAAATCCTCAATCACATACTTGCTAACAATCCAACAGCACATTAAAAAGAACATACACCATGATCAAGTAGGTTCCACCCAGGGATGCAAGGATGGTACAACATAAGCAGATCAATAAACGTAATACAACACATAAACAGAATCAAGGACAAAACCACATCATCTTATCAACAGATGCAGAAAAAGCAAAATTCATGATAAAAGCTCTGAAGAAACTAGGAATAGAAGGCACATTCCTCACCATTATAAAGGCTATAAAACAAACCATATGACATCATATTAAGTGGGGAAAAAGTGAAACCATCTCCTCTAAAATCATGAGCGAGGCAAGGGTGTCCTCTATTCCCACTCTTACTCAACACAGTACTAGAATTCCTAGCCAGAGCAATAAGACAGGAGAAAGAAATACAAGGGGTTCAAATAGGGAAGGAGGAAGTCAAACTGTCTCTATTTGCAGATATGATCTTATAACTGAAAGACTAAAAACTCAACCAAAAAACTCTTAGTGCTCATAAACACATTCAGCAAAGAAGCAGGATATAAAATCAATATGCAAAAATCAGTAACATTTCTATACACAAACAATGAACAGTCTGAGAAAGAAACCACGAAAACATTATCATTCACAATAGCTTCAAAAACATTAAATACAGGAATAAATTTAACAAAGGAGGTGACCGAACTATAGAATGAAAGTTACAAATCACTGAAGAAAGAAATCAATGAAGACATTAGAAGATGGAAGGACAGCCCATGCACATGGGTCGGCAGAATCAATATTGTGAAAATGACTACACCACGGAAAGCAATCCCTATCAAAATTACAACGACGTTCTTCAGCAAGATAGAAAAGCTCATGTGGAAGCACAGAAGACTCCAAACAGCCAAGGCAGTGCTGAGCCAAAAGAGCAAAGCTGGTGGCATCACAATACCTGACTTCAAACCACCCTAGAGCTGCAGCAGTAAAAACAGCAAGGTGCTGGCACAGAACAGGCATGAAGACAGTGGAACGTAAGATGCTCAAACAAACCCATACAACTACACCCACCTGATTTTTGATAAACAAGACCAAAATATGCGTTGGAGAAAAGATATCCTCTTCAACAAATGGGGCTGGGAAAACTGGATGTCCACCTACAGAAGATGGAAACTAGATCCCAGTCTCTCACCTCATACCAGCATCAATTCAAAGTAAAGACCTTAATGTAAGATCTGAAATGGTGAAATTACTCCAGAAAAAGAAAGAACACGCTGGACCACAGGAGCACAGGTAGCAACTTAACAAATACAACTCCAATAGCTCAGCAACTAAAAGAAAGGACTGAGAAATGGGACTGCATGAAACTGAAAAGCTTGTGCACAGCAAAGGAAATGGTCAACAGACAGAAGAGACAGCCTACAGAATGGGAGAAAATCTTTACCAGACACATATCTGACAAGGGATTAATAACCAGAATGTAAAGGGAGCTCAAAAACTAACCTCTCAAAGAATGAACAACCCACGGAATGGGCAAATGAACTGAGAAGACAATTCCCCAAAGAAGAAGTCCAAATGGCCACTAAACCTAAAAGAAATGCCCAGCATCTTTGGCCATAAAAGAAACGCAAATCAGAACAGCACTGAGATCTACCTCATCCCAGTCCGAAAGGCCACCATCAATAACACAAACCACAAATGCTGGCGAGGATGTGGGGAAGAACACTTCTATGCTGTTGTGGGAATGCCAATTAGTACAACTGCTATGGAAAGCAGTATGGAGGTCCTTCAAAAAACTAAAAATGGAACTTCCCTACGATCCAGTGTTACCACTGCTGGGCAAATATCCAAAGGCATGTGCTCCAGGATGTGATAAAGCCACTTGCGCACCCATGTTTACCGCAGCCCTCTGCACAAGAGCCAAGCTCTGGAAACAACCCGCCACTGATGAATGGATAAAGAAAAGGTGGTGTATACACAAACGGAGTTTTATTCAGCCATAAAGAAGAGCGAAATTCTGTTCTTTGTAAGTAAATGGATGGAACCGGGGAGCTTCATTTGAGCCAAGTGAGCCAGGCCCAGAAGTCAAAGGTCACATTTTCCCTCATATGTGCAAGCTAGACCTATAAGTTAAATGTATATGTAAGTACAAACATATATATTTATATGTATATACACACACACACATACATATATAGTAAGAGAGAACAAGATTGTACTAGTGGGTGTCTGAGGGGATTACAGGAGGCGGGAAGGAAAATGGTAGATACTGGAAACTACTGAAACAACCCATCTATATGAATATAATGTAATGTAACACACTGTAAGCTGCTGTATTAGGGGAGCATGGTGACAGAGAAAGAGTAAGTAACGGGGAGTTAATTTGATTAAAGCATGGTATACACAGGCCTCAAAACCCCTTAGACTATCAATATACTTAAAAAAAAATAAATTAAGGACAGGAAGGTAAAACAGGTCTTTTCCAGGAGTGAGTACCAGAGGGAGGGGGGAGGGCATAAGGGTGAATATGGTGGATTATCTTGCATTCATGCATGAAAACAGAAGAATGAAACCTGTTGAAATTGTTCTAAGGAGGAGGAGACGACTAAGGGAGAATGATGGAGGCGGTGAATCCAACAAGCTATATTGTAAGCACATAGGTAAACATCGAAATGCACCCCTGTGCAACTATTATATGTTAATGGAAACCTCTGGCAGTGCTGGAGCTAGAGCTCAGGGACACCGAGTTACACCCCCAGCCTTTTTTGCCACACGTTTTTGCCCAGGTCCAGCCTTAGACTGTGATCATCCTACCTAAGCTTCCAGCACAGCTGGGATTATAGAAATGCACCACCATGCCTGGCTCATTTGTTGAGATGGGATCGTGGTAACTTTTTGCCCAGCCTGGCTTTGCACAGAGATCTCTACTCCTAAGTAGCTGGGATTATAAGCATGAGCCACCATGTCCAGCACAGTATTTTTAAATGACGAGGGAACCCTAGACTGTGCAGGATCACATTCTTCTTACTTCACACATCATCTTCTGCGTCTTTTACAAACCCTCTCTGAATTATACGCTCCTCCCCAGTACAGACACCTTCTCACATACCTCTTCAGAGTGTTGAAGATGGAGGGCTCCATGATATAGTCTCGAGTGGAAAACTTATGCAGACATTCCTGCTGTACCTCTGCATCATCCTCTCCTTCACCAGAATCATCTTCTTGCTGCTGGAAAGGGTATTTTTCATTAATATAAACATCCTGTATGTATAATGCCATCTGTTTTCAAAGTATCCCACTCATGTGATTTCATGCCATGATGAAGGCTGGACAAGTAGTAAGTGATACAAAAATGGGATCCGGGACCACACCCAGTAGGATGTCTGGCCACTCCACCCAAGGCAAACCCTGTGTATCATCATGCACGTCACCTAGCCTGAGTGGCTATGTCTCCTTCTGTTAAACAAAGACACTGTAATGCCCACTCCCAGTCAGCTGTTGTGACGATTCCATGAGCCAATTTTTGGAAGGGCCCACAGTAAAATCTGACATTTATCTCAAAAGATACAGGCAATAATTATTGTTTTCACTATTATTACTTCATACATGTCATGTAAAGCTTTCCAACAAAGGCTAGCAGAATGATCCTTGTTAGAAAGTAACAATCACTAACTTGCCTCAAATCAGCAGGCCTAGCTGGAGTCTAGACCCACTTCTGGCTGGAAGCAACCTCATGATTGAGCCTAAATGCAAAGCAGGCTGCTTCATCAGCTGACAACCACGTGGTGATGGTGGACTGAATGACCCCAGGTCTGTCCGGCTTTAATGCTGTCATCCTAACAACAAGCAGATACTTTTGAGCCTTACACTGTACTGAGACTGGGCTCATCACCCAGAGAACCTAAGGCAATATAACATAAGACATGGTTTTTCCATACAAGGACTTCACAAACTAGTGGGAGTCCAACCTCCGGCAAGTGACTCTAACAGAATTGGTAAGTGCCAGGCCAGGGACCTGCAAGCTATAGTCAAATCCAGCCCTCTTCTTATTTTTATAATAAAGTTTTACTGAAACACATTCACACTTACTCTATTATGTACTGTCTATGACTGCTTTTCCCCTAAAACTACAGAGTTAAGTAGCTATGGCATGGTCCTACACAGCCAAAGATATTTATTATCTAGCTCTTTACAGGAAGTCTGCCCACCACTGGTCTGGACTCACATTCTGAAAGCAGTGCTCTGGAAGCAGACAGAGTGTGATGATGTAACTGTAAAGAATGGGTCTTCTCTCAGACCCTATTTGTGAGCACAGCCTTGAAGAAGGCCAGCTTCACCCTAAGAGTCATTCTCATGTGTCCACATTGCCCTGATGGCCCCTCTCCCACTACCACATTTTCTCCAGCATCATGTCACCTACCTGCTCGTATAACCAAAGTTTGGCATAGACCTCTCTCTTGAGCTCCATACTCAAGTGTGCAGCAATCTATTCTCATTTCCATCCAATGCACCTGTAGCACTACAAACTCCTGAATCCAAACTGACCATGTCTTTCCCCGGAAACATATCTTCCCACAATTTGTTGTTTTTTTTTTAAAGCACCCCTCCCATCATTTACCTGTTACCCAGAAATCTTGGAGGAATCTTCAATTTCTTCTCTCCACTCCCACATCTGTCACAAAGACTCATCAACTCCATCTCCTATACACCAACCCAATCTGGCCCTTTTTAAAAAATTTGCCTTCTTCATCCTTGTTTTTTGTATGTTTGCAGTAGCAATACTCCCCACATGCCTCAATTTCAATCATTCCTTGCAATCACCTTTCCCATTGATGGTACAGTCACCCTCCTAAGCCACAAATCTGACATCCAGCTGTTTAGTTTCCTAGCTCCCTCAGAAATCCAAGCTGCAGCACAACCTAGTCCTTCCCACCTTGTTCATCTCTTGCCACTCCCCATGTGCGAGCTGTAGCCAGGCTAATCTACGTGCATGTGAGTAGCCCTTAGCTCCGATCATCTACTTAACACAGTAGCCTATTACACATCTTTCTGCCTCTCCAAACAATCTAAGACAACATCAAGTGAATAGAATTTGGGTCACCCGCTATTTTTCCCCTCCAAGCACACAGTCAGTTGGAATAAACAAGTGACCCATCCTCATCATCAATGAGAGCCCACAAAGGTCAACTTCTAACATGAGACTCCACAGCATCCCACCAGTGGTCTAGGCTTGATTCTCCCACTTCTAACTGCATACACTGGGGCAAGTAACTCAGTGCTGTCTATGAAACAAGGGCAGAGGACTGAATGGCACCAAGGCATATCAGTCCTAACAGCTTATGACTCAACTGCTCAATATGAACAAGAAGTGCCAAATACAGGCTCACCGCCAAGCTAATTCAGGCCTTACATTTCTCCACCTGGACCTCCTCAGTGGTCCAATTTGGTAAAAGGGCAACAGAGACAAAGGACGTGGATGGGTTCCCCATTCCTTTATTAATTTTATGACCTCGTCATAAAAAAAGACTAGGTCACTTACGACCCAACTCAAAATCTTCAATGAGGAATCCATTATCTAGCCCAGGCTCCCAATTAGCCAAGTCTGATTCTTTATCCCCTCCACTAATAGTCCCCACCGCTGCGGGACGATCCAACGCGCAAATCCATTCATGTCACACCCTGCCAAACTCTTGAGAAAGAGCCTTACAGTTCTCCAAGACTCTTGGCAAACTCTTCCTTATAGACTGGTGACCCAGGCAACTAACCACACGGGATTCCTTCAGTTCCAAAAACACCACCTCTGCATCTTCTATGCCCTCACAGCACCACTGTCCTTGCTCGGGGAAGTAAACCCCATCGCGTCCTGTGTTCCTTCAAAACTGATCTTGATTCCTATTAAAAAGGCAAAGTAAATCCCGGGCTCCCCCCGCACACAAGTAAAAGGTAGTTCCCAGAAGTAGGGCCTGTGAAGCTTGTCAATCATGCACGTGGGGCGGGTCACCTCTCCTGTCCCAAGCCTGTGTTCAGGGAGAAAAGAATGATGCCTCCAGGTCCCCACCCCCACCCCCAGACGGTCAAGGCCGCAAGACCCTTCCTGTCGTCTAGTACAATGAGTGAAATCAGCCCAAAAGTGTTGGAAGAAAGTTTGGTTTACCCCAAAGTAGAAAGTTCTACTTTTTTCCCAGGATGCTGGTTTGGACTTCGGAGTTTTACTTTGTTTACAACTGTGTGACCCAGACCCTTTGCACCAGCGGGGCGTGTCCGACCCGCCACGGGGCAGGAAGTACCAGTGCCTCGCTCGGGCCTGGATGAGTGGTCCCCCCAGGTGCCACAGAGAGAGAGCGCGCGTGGGGAAACTGAGGCACCAAGGCGGCAGCAGCTCTGGGCTAGCCCGTGGCCCTTGCTAGAGCCAGCTGTTCAGACCCGTGGGCCTCGGGACCGCGAGGGGCCGGGCCGGACCGCAAGGGGCCGAGAGGAGGGCGCAACCTCGGCCGCCCGGCGTTCACGCCCCCCTTACGCCCCGGCCTGGCCCGCTCCGGCTCCGCGGGGACCAGGCCGGCCCGCCGGCGGCGACTACAAACGAGCCTCGTCGGGGAGCTCTGGGTGCTCCCCCTCACCTGGCCGCCGTCCGCGTCGTCGCCCCATTCGGCCGCATTTCCAAAGTAATCTTCGGCCATCATGGAGCCTGGCGCGGAACCAGCCATACTCTTCGCGCGGCAGCGCAGCGCATGCGCGTGGCGGGCCGGCTGACAGAGCGCACGCGCAGCTCCGTGGCCCCGCCTCCGCGCGCTTGTTCTGAGAGGGAGGCGGGGTCAGTGGAAGGGGCGTGTCCAGTGAATGGGGCGGGGCTTAGGACTCCACGCCCGGACAAAAGAGACCTGCTAAGCAAAAGCCTGCAATTGATTCAGGAGCACAGCCTCGATGAGCCTCAGGGCCTTGAGTTCCGCCTGGAAGTTTCCCACTAGACTTCCTCATCTAACAGCTGGACCCACATCCATCCGGGACAGTCACTAGGGCGCATAACAGTATTTTTATCATTGGCAAAAACTACTAAATGCAATGTAAAGCAGAACTGTTAATGAATTTTTGGTGGAGGAGGAGCCACAAAGGCAAAAGGGTCTAGAGCCCACCAGAGCCATGATTCTGCTTGAGGTCTCTGAGCTTGTAGAAGGCAGAAGCACATTCCTGGCAGGTAGCAGGTGGTACAAAAATGACCGGGGTGAGGGTAAGTTTTGAGCAGGGAGGTTAATACCCTAACTTTGGATGCTTTGAATGGTTATGTCCGCATCAGTGAGGAAGGAACCCTTTACTAAGGGCTCTAGAATGTTGACAACAGCCACTGTCCGACGCCCAGGATGTATCAGGCACTGTGCTTTCGGATATTCCTTCTTTCTTCCATTCAACAAATGTTTATTGAGTGGCCTCTAGGTTCCTGGAACTCTGCGACCCCCTGGAACCCAACGGTGAACAAATTGGACATGTCCTGACATTCTTCTGAGGGAAACAAATGAAATGATGACAGGAGGTGACAAGTGCCAGTACTATGAGTAATAGGAAACACTTTCTTGGGGTGGCCAGAGGAGGTCTCTCTGAAAAGCTTATATATTGAGCTGACAATCGTAGGATGGCTTCCAGGAGTCAGAACGGCCAGGGCAAAGGCTTGGTGTGTTGTTTCCTCAAAACAGGAAGTCCACTGAGACTGGCAACTGTCAAGGAGAAACCTGGATGAGGTGGGCGAGGCAGGCTGGGGATTGCTGGGGAATTAGGTCTTTTTTAACCTAATAATGTATTACAGCATTGAGCATAGGGCCAACACATGGTAGTGCTCAGTAAGTATTAATTATTATGATGAAATGCTTGCATTGTTTTGGTTTGCTTGTTTGAAGGGTGAAGGACAGATAGACCTGGTGTTTCTAGCCATGTCCCACTGTTGTGGAGAACTTTCAGAAGGGAGTAAGAGCTGGTGTTTGTACCGAGTGCCAGTGGCTCACACTAGTAATCCTAGTGAGTCAGGAGGATCGTGGTTTGAAGCCAGCCTGGGCAAATAGTTCATGAGACCCCATCTTGAAAACATCCATCACAAAAAAAAGGGTTGGTGGAGTGGCTCAAGGTGTACACTCTGAGTTCAAGCCCGGTACCACCAAAAAGAAAAAAGCTGATGGTTGAGAAGGAGCTGGGGCTCTGCTCTGAGATTGGCCAAAGTCCAGAGATATGGCAGCCTTGTGGGCCAGGAGAAGGAGGAAGAGCAGAGGAGGCTGGAGAGATGCACGAGATTTCAGCTCGTGTGCACTTGAGACTGGAAACCCAGCAGGAGGGCAGGTTTCTACCAGAGTGAGTTCAGAATGGGGTGTGCTGAATCTGAGGTGCCAGCAGAACACCCATGCAAAGGTGACTTTCAGGTGGTTGGAGGTGTAAGTCTGCAGCTCCAGAGTCAATGGATTCCACTCCAGCTTCTGTTCACAAGATTAAAGTATTTAAAGTTAATGAGAGCCCCTGCTGTTGGCTTGTTTCAGAGCTCATTCTCATTTACTTTCTGAAAATGTTGGAAAGAATACATGGTTGTTAAACTCCTACTACTTCTTCTCTTGGATTTTTTTTTAATAGTGCCTGAATTGAAAGCAGACAAATTCATGTATGTATAGCTAATTGCGCCTACAGAACTGGGGATTATTTAACTCATCTCTCCCTCAACCAACTTATTATTGGTAAGTTTCGTAACAACGAAAGTGTTACATTCAGTCTATAAGTCTCAATGATTTCGAATAATTGAATCTATAGGTTTCACCTCCTGAGATATTGTTGACCTGTTATTCTTCAAAAAGCCTTGCCTAGAATGTCTAAATTAGCTTGCATTACTTAAAGTTAATATTCCAAAATGATTTAAGATATTTTCTTGTTTAAGAAAAATTTTAGTGGCAAATGTCCATGAAAATGAGAGTTGGTTCCACTTAGTTCATTCAAGAAATATTTACTGAGCATCTACTGAGCTGGATGATGAGGAGAGTGCAGAGGCCTTAGGAGAGATCAGGAAGAGGCTTTCCAGGAAAATGGTGTTGATATTGAAACTTAACTCTTGAATCTGGAGGAAAAGAGAACAACCACACAGTGGAGAAAATAAAGGTTGAGTAAAAGAGCATGACTGCAGGGCAGACATCAAAAAGCAGGAGGGAGAGAGTCCTTGCAGCGCCGTACTCTCTGGGTTCCTCCTGCCTCATCAGCTGTCTTTCTCATACTTCCGTCCTTGCTCACCTTCTGCCTGTTCTGTAGACGTGGCAGTGCCTAGGACTGAGGCTCTTCTCTACTTCGTTCTCTTCCCAGGGAATCTTGCCCATCCCACATCTTCCAACTCTCTTTATGCCGCAGACTCTAATTTGTGTCTCCAATCCTTGTTTCTTCTCTGATGTACAGATTTGATTTTCAACTGACCTAAATACCTCTTATCCTCACTGTTAGTGTTCCTGTGGGCGTCTCAACATCTCCACGAACACCCAGAGCTCCATCCTTCTGCTGTTTCATGTCCCCAGCACCACAGTTAATAAATTACACATCTAGAAGTCATTTCTAACTTCTGTTCCTCCTCCACTCCTATTCAACCCAAAGGAAAATCCTTTGTCACATCCACTTGGAAAATATTTCAAATCTTTCCACTTGTCTCTATCTGTACTGCCACCATCTTAGTCCATGTTCCCACCAGTTGTACCTGAACCATGGCAATAGCTCGAGCTGAACTGACTCATCTACCTTGCTCTCTCACACTCCATCTTCAAACAGCAGCATGGTGGTTTGCAAACTATATTCATGTGGGTTTTCTGTACTCTTCTCGAGAGCTGGAGCTTAATTTCCCTCCTCTTGAATGTAGGCCGAACTTAGCAATTCACTTCTCATGAGTAGAATAAAGCAGAGACCTTGGAGACCCCATGGACTGGATCAGAAAAAGATATGTGACCTCCATCTTGGCCACACTGTCTCTGGATCACCCGCTTTGGAAGACACCAGATGCCAACTTGTGAGCAGCTCTGTGGAGACAGCCCCAGTGAGGAACCAAGCCTCTTTACAGCAGCTAAATCAATAAGCCTGACCAGGATAACCCACTCCCAGCCCAGTCTCAGCTGACATCTTGCTTGCAACTTTCCAAGAGACCCTGAATCAGAACCATCCAGCTGAGCTGCTTCCAAATGAAACCATGACATAATAAAATGTATGTTGTTTAAACAGATAAATTTGAGGTAATTTCTTATGTATCAATGATTAACTAACAGAAGAATGCAAAGTGCTTGTTTAAAACATAAATCAGGTCATGACCCTCCCCTACTTAGTACATCTCAGTGGCTTCCTACTTCACTTGGAAGAAACAAACAATTTTTTCATGCCTGGCGTGGCAACAGGGTGAGGTCAACAAATTCTGCCCCCAAAAGCAGCAATAATGCCAGACAAAACTGTCAAGAATAGTCATTTCAGACCTCTGGAAATGGACTCAAGGCATCCTCCCAAACTGAGAAGCATTTATTAATCAAAATTACTAAACTTTAAGTAAAAATAGTGATTCCATGACCTTTGCTTGCATATGCTCCTATTTGAAAAAAATTAGCACCTGTTAATTATACAAAACAATGGTCTCCAGCATGACATTTCTCATACATGTATATTATGTACTTGGTCATATTTCTGCCCCCCATTATCCTCTTTTGTCCTCCCTATGCCCCCATTCTTGGAAGCAAAACAGGAAATCTGATTAATAAATGACTTCTCATCAGACACACGGGAGGCCAGGGCTGGGGATGTAGCTCAGTGGCAAAGCACTTTACTAGCTTGCACAGGGCTCTTGGTTCCATCCTCACTGTCTTGCAAAACAAACAAGACAATGGAGACCAAAGGCAGTAGAATGACATGCTTAATTCTGGAATAAAGCTAATTCTCAGCCAAAAGCTCTACGTTCAACAAACATCAAAAATGATGGTGGTATAAACACAGCCTCAGGTAAACAAAGAACTGAATTTGTTGCTTGCAGACCTGCCTTATAACAAATACTAAAGGAAATCCTTCAAGCTGAGAGTAACACTACACAGTAAGTTCAGTTCACACTGTGAAACTGAAGAATACCAGAAATGGTGAACACAAAATCTCTATAAACACTCCATATATTCTGTCACCTTTAAATTATATATATATGTAGTGTGAAATGTATATTGTTGGATGAAAAAAATGATTGTGACACTGTATTGTTGCATTTGTAATAGCAAAAATGAGATATATTGAAGAAAAGTTACTATATTTTTACTGAAATTAGCTTACTGTTACTTTGAAGCTGATTGTGCTAAGTCAAGATGTCAATCGTAACCCCTAAAGCAATAATTAATGAGAAATCCCAAAAGACAATAAAAAAATCAACAGATAAATTACAATGGCTCATGAAAACATATTTAACATAAAATAAAGCAATAAAGAGAACAAAAGAGACATAGGTGAACAGAATGAATTGGCAGCATAACTACATCCAGATCAGGATTTTATTAAAAGTGAATATTCTAAATACCCCAAAGGGCAAAGATAGACAGGCTGAAAAGCAAGACCCACAGACACGCTGTGTATAATACAAACGCTGTAGATTCAAAGGCACAAATAAGCCAGGCGCTGGTGGCTTACGCCTGTAATCCTAGCAACTCAGGATGCAAAGAGCCAGACAACCGAGGCAATAGTTTGTGAGACCCTATCTTGAAAAAACCC